GAAGAAGAACTATGATAGGAACTTTGAAAACTGATCTAGAACTTGTCCCAATGCACTGTAAAATGACTTTCTACATTCCATAGATTTGAACATCAACGATTAGATACAATGCAACATTGTTTTCCTCATTCAAATAAGAAATATCAACACAGTTTTACAAATGATCCCAATTTACATAAAAAAATATAGTCGAAACTCATAGTTATATTACAAAGCCATGTTAAACAAACTTAAATACATTTTTGGTCTTGATGCTCTACAAAAGAATAGCTCTATACACAAAAGATTGCAAAACATTCTTCTAACCCTTCATGCTTGTGGTAGATTGTCATCCGCCACCTCCTTTCCGAGACTTGAAAAATGTTAAGGAATGAGTGCAAGGCCCAGTAAAGATTGCCTAAAAGGCATCTCCTAAAATTAAGTAGAGAAACACATGCTTAAACACGTCAATGAATAAAGGAGAAGAATAGGAATCATATCGGGCTGCACATCATCAATAATTAACAAGTAATGTACTATCAACCATCTGAAGTGATGTGATACATGAAATGGCTTATGTAATGCATAACACACTCTCACTCATATACCCACACACACCGAAAATATACTAACTAGCAGGACTTTGGTACCCCATTGTCCTTAGGGAGAATTTGCTAGTCGTCCTTGGCTAACGGTGACTCCCAACTACCATTTGAGGCCCGAAGTCGCTAAATTTCTCACGGTTACTTCCCGTGTCCCTAATTACCAGTTAGTAACACCGACAAAGGGGTACCTCCCCAACTGTCGGGTTTCAAGAAAACTTTCAACAAAACTTCTTCAAATTCAACATACACCTTCCACACCTTTCCCATAACACACCCAATGCCCAATGCCAATGCTATAATATCAATGTCATGCTCAAAATTATTCTCATACTTCAATAGTCCTTATTATTCATCCACAATCACAATTCTACCTCCACATGAATTTATACAACATTGTCAATATATGAACATACATGGCATTGAAACATTCACATTGGCAATTTCACAACATCTAGCATAATTAACACTTTAAAAACACCAAATTGTCAAATTTAGTATCAAATAGCATGCTCGCTCACAATTAACCACATAATCCATTCAATAAGTTGAAATTGCTCATCACATAATCATCATTTAACACATAACAATAACCAAATTGTCACACATCATCAATATAATAAAACCCTAGCATGCTACTACCAAAATGACATCAAATTGGCAAGTAAAAATTGGTGAAGAACATGAATTCAATTACAAAATTCAAGGATTATGCAAGTTAGACAACTCTACATTGTTTTAAAGCAAAAGCCCCAAAAATTGCCCAAATTTCAAAATTCCTAGGGTTGGCCAAATGGTGAACTGCTTGTATCAAAGTATAGATCTCGTCAAGTTCTTCGTTTTGTCGCAAACGGCATCCAAAAACTCTCAACGGTTGAGGATTAATCAAGATTTGAAGCTTTGAATAAAAAGGAAAAGAAAAATGAAAATAAAGAGAGGAAAAGAAAGATCTGCCGCGGAGAAAGAGAATTGGAGAGAGAAAGGTGAGGCCAAAGTGGCCTTTTGGCCACTAATGCATTAGTGGTGAGTCCCACCACTAAAATTCCTTCCTTTTTGACTTTTCTTTTCCACCACACATACATATGCATATAGACTATATAAAATCCACATAAAGCACACTAATTAAAATAAATGAATACAAATGGACCCAAACAAAACCCCCCTACGCGACAATTCCTGTAACGGGTCCTACACGGGAACTTTTTGGCCCGAAAAACAGAAAAATGCTGAAATGGCAATCATTATATTTTCAAGAGTCCTGAACTCAATGGAATGCCCCAACTAACTCTCGGACACACCCGGCACACCCTACGGTGTCCAGCACGCAAGACGAAAAAAGACAAAAATGCCCTTGCAAAAACAGAAAATTTCAAAAAATGAAAAATGGCGAAAAACAGAAACATTACAATAAAATTGGGTTTATTTATAATTATTTCTAAATATTCCTTTTATTGAATCCTTGTCTAATTAGATTTTCTTAGGACTAAATATTCCTTTTATTGAATCATATTCTAATTAGATTTTCTTCGATAGTTTAATTATTTAATATTATATATTTATAGTAGTCCTTTTATTGAATCATTTTCTAATTAGACTTTCTTTAGTAGTTTAATTTTTTTACAAAATAAATTATTATATGTTCTGAAACACAATAGTTTGTAAAATTGCTATTTAATGAATACTTAGAAATACAATAAAATTGGGTTTATTTATAATTGGGTTTATTTATAATTATTATTAAATATTCTTTTTATTGAATCATTTTCTAATTAGATTTTCTTCGGTAGTTTAATTTCTTGGGATTAAACATTCCTTTTATTAATTCATTTTCTAATTAAATTTTCTTTGTTAGTTTAATTATTTAATATTATATATTTATAGTAGTCTTTTTATTGAATCCTTTTCTAATTAGATTTTCTTCAGTAGTTTAATTTTTTTACAAAACAAATTAATACATGTACTGAAACACAATATTGTAGTAAAACTCTTTGAATATATATATAAAATCATTTTAGAATATAGAAGAGAAAATTAAATAGGCAAATTCTCATTTTAGATAAATAAATCAATAGTTAGTAAAATGATATTATTCCCTACAGCTGAAATTTAGAGAAAGACTCCCCCACCTGCAGAAGGATTCCCAAACATATGATCAAATTCTAAGTGCAAGTTGGGGGGGGGGGGGGGGGGGGGGGGTGGCTTTTGCCAATTCCGACCTCTAATTTTAAAAGTTGTATCACTTCTCGAGTTAAGTTGGAAATGGTTCGCAGTATTGGTCCTTATCGTAATATTGGTCATGATCATAATATCGGTTACGGTCGTAGCGTAACGGACTTGGACAAAATCAGTGTAAACTGACCGATATGGGTCACGTATCGGACTTAAAAAATGATAGCGTATCGATACGTCGCGTATCGGACAATACAATGAATTATTGGAATCAGATTCAGTATACACGTGTTGTATTATAAATGATTGAAAGATTTAAAATACACACTAGATGTATTGTAGATGATCGGAAGACTTGATAAGTCTAGTACAATATGTATATACTAGAGTTCTTAGATACAAATTGTACAATACAACATAAATTTACACATAATATATATTTGACGAAGATGCTCAACTACAGAACACTACTTTTGATATATTGTGATGATAATATGCAGAAGTGCCATAGAAAGATGATTTAAATGATTATACGTTTGGTAAAAAATAAAGGGTTAATTACAATGACACCCCCTGAGGTTTGCTATAATGACAGCTATATACAAGCTAGACCATTTTTGAACGATAACACCCCTTTAAGTTTGATAAAGTTAACAAAGACATCCCCTGTTAGAATTTTTGATCTAAACAGATCCTTAAAAGGTGAGAAAAGACTAGATTGCCCTTCAATAAAATACTAATTTTTGATTTAAAATATCCAAATCTTTAAATGACAGAAATTACCCTTATTAATCCCAATTTTATCTCTCTGTCCTCTCTCTCTGAAAACCCATAAATTTTGCCCCTAAAATCACCACCACCACTTCCACCATTGCCACCCACCACTGCCACCTCCACCAAAAAACGAAACAGAGAAATTGCAAATGGGTTTAGTGAGAATTATTGCATACTATTATTATTATTTTTTTTATAAGTAATAATCAATGTTTTCTCTGTGCCTATCCAATGTGTTTCTTCAATTTTGTGGGCAAAAAAAATATATATATATATTTCTTAAAAGAACAAATAGGGGCAATAGTGGTAGAGAGAGTGGAGGCGACGTCGGGCCTTTGTCGAAGCATCCACTCGCCGTGGAGACTCGGCGGCGAGCTTGCGAGCAAGATGGAGTGCTCGGCTATGGATGAATTACGGGCAAAGCAGTGATGGACTAGCTGTGACGGCTTGATGGAGCTGATGGAGACGGGTTGGCTAACTGTGGCGGTGAGCGAGGAGGGACTCTCGGCTTTGATGATGTCCACCGGCGGGCAAAGAGAACTCGGCTGTGGATATCTGCGACTGGCGATGAGAGCGACGGCGAGCACGACCGGTGGCTGTGGATAGGTGAGACAAATCCGGATGTCCACCGGCAGGGACTCTCGACTTTGATGATGTCCATCGACGGGCAAAGAGAACTCGGCTGTGATCTACGACTGGCAATGAGAGTGACTGCGAGCTTGGCCGGTGGCTGCGGACCAGTGAGACAAATTCGGCAAGGGAGTGGAGCTCGGTTATGGTTGAGGAGAAGTGGTTGCGGCGGCTGTAGTTGAGAAATGGTGGCGATATAAGGAGGGAGATGATGGCAGCGATTGTGGGCTGTGGTTGGGGAGGCAGCGGCGGCGGATGTGGTTGGGGAGAGGTGGTGACGGCGGATCAAGATGGTGGCGGCGGATGTGGATGGGGCAGTGAGATTGTGGAAGTGGAGAGATGTGGTGGACGTTACAATGGAGAGAGCGTGGATGTTGTGGTGGTGTAGGATGGTAGGTGGGAGGCGACGGTGCTGCAATGTTTTTCTGTTGGACTTAGTTATATATATATATATATATATATATATATATATATATATATGATGGTGCTGATGTAATAGTGTATATATATAAGGGCAAAATTGACTTTTCATAAGTTATGATATTTTACCACAAAAATAAATTAAATATTAAAGAGTAATCTCGTCTTTTTCAATATTTTAAGGACTTATTTGGATTAAAATTTTTATAAGTAGTGTCTTTGTTTAAAAATCGATAAGTTATATATGACTGTTAATACGTGAATCCGCTTAAAATGTTGCAGTAATTAACCCAAAAATAAATGACTGTACGAGAATATGAATCAATATCTCAAAAGTTATACTAGTCAACTCTAAAGTAAGAAAAAGTATTTAACATTTTTCAAGAAAAGACAGCCTTCCACTTATTAGTAAAATCCAAAATTGACTCAATCGTGGGAAGAAAAAGAGGCCAGAGCATCTTCTGGGCTAGAGAGGTAGAGGAGACTAAAAAGTGATGGAAGAGAATATGGAGGGAAGGAAGAGTGTGGTGCCGTTTGTGGGCATGGTGATGGTGCAGGTTGCACAAGTGGGGCTGATGATCGTAGGCAAAGAAGCCATGTCAGATGGAATGACTAACTTCACCTTCGTTTTCTACTCAAATTCCCTCGCTTCCCTTGTTCTCCTTCCTACTTCCTTTCTCATTCACAGGTACATATATATATACATATCCATCTAAAAATTCAACCCCTTAACAGAACTTAAGATGATAGAATTTCTGATTTCCCTTTTTGTCTTCTAATTCTATGCAGATCAGCTCGTCCTCCAATCACTTTCTCTCTCCTTTCTGGATTTTTCTTGCTTGGTTTAATTGGGTCTGTTTAATTGCAAATATTTTTTAAATTTTCAATTGTTCCATAAATTGTTTGTTGAAAATGAATCATCTGCCAAATATTGTTATTTCTATATACATACATACATACATACATTATATATATATATATATATATATATAATTCACTGTGTGTGAGTTTCACTGACTAGGTTTTAACAGTTACTTGGTACAGATATCTGGGTATGCTGGAATTCAGTACACCTCTCCATCATTTGCATCTGCAATGCTAAACCTCATCCCAGGTTTTACCTTCATATTTGCCATCATTTTCAGGTTCTATTCCTCTCTCAATATTACTCTACCAACAGATTGACAATAAAACATATTAATTTGTACAATCAATTTCAATTGTTATCAATCAATTTCAATTCCTTATCTATTGGTATCAGTCAATTTCAATTGCAATTTATGACATTAGCTCAAGGATTTTTTTTTACAAAAATTATATATATATATATATATATATTAAAGGTGGATAGTGAATTAGCATCTCTGTTTGTGCATCTGTGTGTTATTGTTCTTGTGATCATTCTTGGGCTTGAACTGGGTGATGCTAGGTTAATCTTTACTAATTTTTATTTATTTTATTTATTTATTTTTATTCAGATTAATCAAAATTTTGCTTAACTACTTGGTGACTTAAAGGTTAAGCTTGGGGTACCAATGAACCCGAAATTTGAAATGGGCCGATTAGATAAAGGAATAATTACAATTCTGTGCTAAGAAATCAGTTAATTGGCCAGTACCATCCCTAATTATAAGTTAAAAGGGAAATGTCACAATTCATCTATTTGGAGATAGGAAGATAAATTGGATCCATCTCTCCTTCCCTTTATTGTTTGTTTCAATTTGGTGATATGGAAAAGGATTTGAACCTAATTCACCTGTAAAGCTAGTAGTGGGAAGTATATAAATCAAATAAAAGGAAAAAAAAGGAGAAATTACATGTATTAGCATAAGAATAGAAAAAGGAATTCATGTGGCCAACCCGAGTCATATGGATTAAGGCATGGAACAGGATGATGATGATTTGGGATTCATCTTCAAGCTAGTAATTCTTTCCCATAGGAATTCATGTATAATGCTTTACCATACGAATCCCTAAAATCTCGAACAATATCAAAGAAAAGACTTTGAGTCTTTACAATTGTTAATAAAACATTCTTCTGTTTCTTTCACACCGAATGTAGTAAAGTGAACCAGCAATGCAACCTTACTAGTCAGTTTCAGCAATGGCTTGCCACTGAATTCGGAGCTTAGCCATAGAATTGTTTGTTTCCAAGTACCCGGAAGCCTCACCCTTACTTTGACATTGCTCAGCGCTGTAGAACCATCTGCCTTTATTATAGTTCTCATTGTTCTCCTGAAATTAGTAAGGCTTCACTAATCAAGCCAGGGATTTGTTTCCCAAAATTTTCTGGATCCAATTGCTACAATGTGAATAGATCGCCATCGCTGAATTTTTATGGAGCACTCGTGTTGGTTAAACTTCGACTACTTTGTTGAATGTGATACATATTAATGCTATAAGGCCGTTTTGAAATGCTGCTCCTGCTTACAGCCGATTGTTGGATGGTTTCTTTTTATTTTTATTTTTTTTCATTGGCAAGAAACACACTCACATACCACCGTTTACTCCTATGGGGACTTGAACCCTTAACCTTCTACTTTAGAAGGCGAGAAAGTACCATTAGGCTACAAGGCCCTTGGTTGTTGGAGGGGGGTAGAATTAATGTTTTGACATTATTTTGTACAAAAGTGGCTGCTCTAGGACTTGCACCTAAGTCCTAACCCTTATCTGCCAGCCCAAGCTTTTAACATTGCATTAAGAGATGACCCATAGTTTTCTAATTTATATCCAAACTTAGCTGTTGTCTTGGTGGCTCAGCTTTGACCATCAAGCTACTCTAATTCCAGCTTCTTTGCTTGTGATTTTTTTTTTTTAAACTGATTGTTAAGCCCGTGATTTGTTCCTCTAGTTCCCTTTCCCACCCAATTGGCGACAATTTCTACCGGATTGATGTTCTAGTTCCTAATTTTGGTCATTGCATTGAACGTGTTCTAACTTTGATGCACTAGATTCCAAACTAGTAACTTCGTATTTCTTGATATGTGGTCTAATATCATTTGGATGTGTGAATTTTAGGATGGAAAAACTAGATTATACAAGCTCAAGTATTGCTAAATCCATCGGAACTGTAGTGTCAATTACAGGAGCATTCATTGTGACTCTCTATAAGGGCCCTTCAATTCTGATGACCCCCACACATTCAAAATCCGCTCATCAGCATCTTCTCATGCATTTGTCAACGTGGGTCGTTGGAGGATTGCTCCTCACAGTTGATGCTGCATTGACTTCAATGTATAATATAGTACAGGTAAAGTGCTCCATGAAACTCTCATAGAAACCAGTTACAATATAATTGCTATTCACATTTACATAAAAATATCTACCTTTGATTGTTTTCAGGTATTGATCCTTCGAAAATTCCCAGCAGAGTTGATTATTGTATTCTTTTACTGCTTCTCTGTGGCCATTCTGTCTGCAGCAGTCGCTTTTATTGTTGAAAAGGACTCGAGTGCTTGGAGTTTACAACCTAATATAAGGTTGTTTGCTGTTGTGTATTCGGTAAGAAGATGAAGCTTCTATTTTATTGTGAAAATCAAAAACGAAAAATGATTATATTGGGGTTAATGAGCATTTTGGCAATTCAATCAGTCCAAGTTGTGGATATCAGTAAGTTGGAGAGATATGATCTGATGAAGAAAATGTACTAACTATCGTGAATGTGCCTCAACATCACCATGATTTCACTAACCCTGATTTACATACTTTCTCTAATCGGCAACTTAGTGACCCTTTTGTGTAACAATGTAGGGAGTGTTTGGTTCTGTGTTCCAAGTCAGTGTTACTACATGGTGCCTGCACAGGACAGGGCCTCTTTTCGTTGCTATGTTTCATCCCTTGGGCATTGTCATTGCAAATGTTTTAGGTATCATCTTTTTAGGCGATACTTTCTATCTTGGAAGGTATGAAATCTCCTTTTGTTTTTGGTTTTCTATTATTTAGCATCATAAAATAGTGTCGAGAATTTGATTGATTAAAATGTTGAGTTTATAACCACTGTATTTATAAATTTTGTGCAGTTTGGTGGGATCAATCGTTATTGTTATTGGGTTTTATTCAGTGATGTGGGGAAAGGCCAAAGAAGGAAAAATGGTCGGAGAAATTGGAGTAAATAGCTTGGATTCGACCAGTGAAAATGTCTCTCTCTTGCAAAGCAATGTACAAAAAACAGAAGCTTAGTACAGCCAATCAATGACAGTTATGGAAGGAGAACAAAATTAAGTTTGGAAGCTGCCCCTACAGTGATTTCAAATATTGGGAATTTGAGGTTCATTTGGTGCTTGGCTTTTGATTCAGTAAGTCTCCTTAAGAGAGTTAGTCAGCCTACGTTATGTAATCCCATTTCCGATCAATTGTGAGTAACCCATTTGTTTTAAAGTAGCGAGGATTCGATTCTTTAGAAGATAAATGTAAGCCAATTTCCCACAACACATTCATGTACACATACAGTTAAATGTACGTTGGTTGAATTGTCATTGAAATAAAGCTTTCATGCAATTCATAATCAATCTGCATTCTCAGGACCTGATTGGGTTCAATTCTGGAAATGTGTGTTTGTGTGTGTGTGTGGTATTAATCAGACAAATTCTCATACTGGACCTATCCCAAAGGCTCCTCCTATTAGCCTTATTAAGCTACTAACAATATTCTCTAACTCTGATAAAAGCAATACAACTAACCATGAGAGTACCCATTTTATGCCTCTTCGCAAGATTCTTTCCTTTCTTCATTATATTTCAAGACAACCAAACAAGGAAAAATGAATTTTTTTCTATAATTTCATTTTGCCTTCCACTTGGTTTCTCAGTTAAAAAGTGGCACGATAAGCAAAATTCAACACCTTGTTATCATAATAGTTTCTAACGACTGCAATAGTACCTGTGCAAGTGATGTACATATTTTCGTAGTTGAGTGGAAACGAAGAATCACATCAACGATCGCAGATGGAGAGAGTACATGCATGAACTAATCCACAGGGACTACTTCCAAGTATATTAGCATTGCTATAGTTTTCAATCCAGCAACAGAAATGGATGAGGAATGGGGAATCAAGTACCAGCAGCAGAGACATTTCCGAAGTATGAATGCTTAAGTGCGTCAGAAGCAGTAATCCTTTTACTCGGATCCAAGCACAACATTTTCTGCAAAACAATGACCAAAGTAAACATACAAGGAACTGTAAAAGCACCGCATAAAAATTAGATTTTATATATTCGGTCACTTTCAAAATGCAGCGGCATTTCAAACTAGTAAGCTTAATTTAATGGGAGTGGTGATCAGATGGACTTGTTAGGCCACGGTTAGAACAAGAGTTAGGTATAGCAAAATCAGAACTTACAGAAAGAAGATCCAATCCAGCAGGTTCAAGTCCAGCGACCTCGTCTCCAAGGTTTCGTGTACATTGAGGGGGGAACTGTTGGCAGAAGAGAAATAAGGTGAGAACGAACAGTACCTTTTTGAAGATTCTGTGGTAGGAAGATCAAAGAGACAAAGGAAGCTCAAAATCTCTATTACCGCGGGTATGTTAGCAATGTAGCGACTTAATGAAGTCACTCCAGGCCAGGTTGCTTCAGTTGGCACACCCAACAAGCTTCATACAAGAATGCAGATGTCAACATGACTGAACTTGAGATGGAAAATGGATATGCATGTAATGTCTGTGTTATATATAGCCTCTCTCCTCCTCTGTTTTCCTTTTTTCTTTTCTTTTTCCTACAAGCTTCCACTCTTGATTAATTCCTCAATTCTTGGTATTTTGAAGTGCCGTTTGCAGTAAATTGAAGCTCACGGCGAGGCCTACAAGTTGATAGGAGCAATTCCTTGGTTGATGCACCATAGGAAATTCGAAAATCCTAGGGTTTGAGGTGGAAATTGGGGGTTTTCATAACTTTGGAGGTAGGGGTTCTAATTCACATGTTCTTGAGCCTTTTTGTGAATTACTCTAATTAATTGATGATTAGCATGCTTAAATTGTAGAATTTTTTTTGCTTTATTATATATATATATATATATTGTGCCAAAGTTGTGACTATGTGATGCTTGATGTATATTATAATGAAGCATGTAAATTGTTGATTAATTCAAGCTTATTGTGCCTTTAGTGCTAGATTGGTGATTAGAAAGCATGAAAGATAATTTTAGAATTTTTTTTTATGTTGTAAAGCATGTCTAAGTATTAAATTTTCATGCCTATTATGATTAATTTGCTAGAAATTGCTATATGGAAGTGTGTTGATTTGTGAAATATGAAAATCTTATGTTGATTTGTGATTTGTAAAAATTCTTCATTTGACATGGCATTGGGAAACATGAAACGTTCATGCATATCATTGGGAAGGAATGGGAAAAATTGATTTGAAAGAAAGGAAATGGATTTTGGGAAAGAATTTTGAAAATGTTTTTTTGTGAAAAACCCGGCCGCCTAGGAGTTGCCTAGAGACTGAGACGTTAGTGAGGCTTAAAGGGGACTAGGGAGACCGCCCTAGTGTGGTTGAGTTACCTGGGCCCCAAATAACGCCATGGAGTTGCCATGGTTCAGGGACAGTCGCCAATTCTCCTCTCGTGCAGCCATGGAGTTGCCATGGAACGGGTTCACTAACAGTTTGAAAATGATAATGGAAATGGTTTTGGGAAAATGGTGAGTGACATTGCATGGCACAGCATCTCAGTGCATGGCATATTTATTTGTGGTATTGGATTAATGATGTGGTATCGTAGTTATACTTTTACTCCCGGCATGGTATGATTCCAATTTCTTTATTCCTATTCATTGTGTGGATTCACGGGCTCTCAAGAGGTGTGCCTTAGGCACTACCTACTGAGCAATTTTGGTCACTCCTATTATTTAACATTTTTCAGGGTTCGAAAAAGAAGTGGCTGATGACAATCCACCGCAAGCTTGAAGAAGATTAGGAGTTGTATTTTGTTATCTTTTGTATCTTAGCCCATTTTTTTGTATTGTCTCAAACTATGTAAAAGAGTATTTATTTTTGCAAATCATGGCCCTGTAACATAACTAAGATACTTGATTTATTTTTGTTGTAAACTGAGACCATGTAAATGCTTAAGTTGAAGGAGATGACGATGATGGGTTAATTATGGAAGGTTGTTGATGTTGTGGTATTGAGGAATGCATTATATTTCTTTTGTATGGTATATTGGGGTAGGTTGGATAGGTCTTGAAAGACCGTTATTTTTTTTCATTTGAACAGGTTGTTATAGGACCATTTTTAGCGGAGCTCATGCTGAATTTTTTAAAAATTTTATTATTTTCGGTATTCAATATAGGGTCGTTACAATGCACATAAAATCGGTTTGTGTGAGCTATATTAGCACCTGAAAATGTCCATCAATACAGTAATCTCACTTTCTGTACAGAACAGAGGTCGAAGGGTCACCATCTCAGCAAATATACACCCCACAGCCCACACATCAACGGAAGTGGAGTAATTGGAGCCAAGCAGGACTTCGGGTGCCTTGTATGCTAGAGTTACCACCTGGAGTGCACTTCAAAAGTATGAAAATCATAGACGATGTGATAAACAAGTTGACTGATCCTTGAAAGTTTCCTTGTAAAAGAATTAGATGCTTCTCAAAAAGTGATGTTTTGTAGAAAAAAATAGCCCCAGTAGAACCTAATCCGTCAAAATTACATTTGCAAGGGACTTCCTTTCCTAGCGAGGTCCTAATCACAACCTCTAGAGTGTACTCGATCAGTTTCCTCTTATTTCATCCAAACAACATTAAGAAAGAATGATACTTGATGCCAGTTTTCCAACTACAATGGATTTAGAAAACTTGAGACACCTAGAGGAGACTTCCCAAGTTTCTCTGAGTCACTGCGCCCACAGTCAGGGCTCTGGAAAATAACCATTTGTTATTATCATAGTTATACAATGATAAGAGTATCAATGTTTCACAAATTTTAGGATTTGTTTTCCCAGTGGAATTAGAATTACCCCACTCAATCAACTCCATTCAGCTCGATCTCGACTTCCAAAGCAACATATATATATATATATTGTTTTGGCTACGCAGGAATAATAATTTTTCATTAAAATTTACAACTTCTCTTGCTAAAATCGATAAAAGAAAAAGAAATTTTTGGTATGCAGGAAACATCTAGATGTCCATGAAGAAAAATCTCAACATCACTCCAAAATACCAAGCCAACATTAAGGAAAATAGAACATAACAAATTTCATAAATATAATTTCTTATTATGACATATGCAAGGATAATAGTAATGAGCAGTGAAATACCTTGCCAGTGTAGGTCCTAAGAGGAACACCAAATGCCCTGGCCAATCCAAAGTCAGCAATCTTCAAGACCTTGTTGTCGATATCTATGAGCAAATTCTTAGGTTTCAAATCCCGGTGGAGTATTTTATGAGAATGACAATAAGCAACACCACAGAGAATTTGATAGAGAAACAGCTGCAGAGAAATTATGTTCAAAGGTAATCATCATTGTCATCTCAACTAATAACTATCCAAAGTAACTGCAGACAAACAATATGAAACTGCAATTTTTTTTTCTTTTTTTTTCTTTTTTTTTTTTTTAATAAAAACACAAATAAGTAAACAGTAACAAAGAAGAAGATAAATAGAGAGTATTTGGAAAACCGTAGGGAGTTTCAATCAGTTTCCTTCGTTCTAATTTATTCAATTTATGGTCATGTTATAACTCAATTTTATCAAACAACACAAAATTGAAAAAAATCGTTATCATAAAATTTATAAATAATCCACATCAAGTGATATCATGTCACAACAATAGAAAAGTGCTAGAGTCAAATATAAAATATTCATACAAAGAAGAAAACCTTATTGATTTGAAAAAGTGAAAGAAAAGGCCATAAACGTCTATAACATTTCACCAATGCACCAGTTTAGCTTCATTTTAAAGTTACAGATAGAAGTCACCCATTTACAGAAACACAAGCAGAAGGCTCTCACCCACCTTTATTATTTGTTGATCCTTTGCAACCTCAGGATAAGAAGCAATGAACTTTGACAGGTCAAGGTCCATACACTCAAAAATGAGACCCACGCCTGCCCCATTCTTTATTACATCAAGTAACCTGTTTCCAAAGTTCCACACGCGCACACACACACACACACACACACACATATATATATAGATTATAGAAATTCACAAAATTAGTACTGTTTAAATGTTGTCAGAAGTTCAAGACATTAAAGAAAGTTAATAGAAAAATATAGCAGAGAAATCAAACATAAGAGATTTACTACTGTTTGCAACCAATAAATTTTTAATTATATTAAATAGATAAGGGCCTTTCTGAACTAAGATGCACTATACTCATGAGACAATCAAGTTCTACAAACATCCATCAACCAGAACAACAATTAAAAGAGAATGGAAAGTTAGCCCTCCTTAATTTATTCATTTTGGTACAAGTATTTTTAGAAGCGTGATGTAGCATAAAATGCCAAAAAGAAATCCAGCAAGTCCGCCTCGGTGGAAATAGGCCTCTGATGTCTCATTTTCATTCCGCTATTACAAATACTAGAAATACAAGTGATCTGTTGTACTATGACACACAAGGTATCAAGATAAATATATCAAAAATAATACCCAGGAAAAATATAAATCACTGTACAAACACCATTACAAAGATTAGATTTATTATTATTATTATTATTACTCCGATAAGCCATGCAATTCCCACATGAATTAATGGCCCCATTGAGTTCTAGATACTAGATAGCATTCCTAGGAATACATCCATCACCTCAGATAGAACCATTACAAGGAAAAAAGAGAGGGGGAGGAGTTATCTCAAAAACAATGTAAGTTGATTGTTACTTTATGGACAGGTTTGTAATGATTATCACAAAAAGTGATGAAGCCTTCCATCTTCTATAATGAAGCCATTCTAGATTTATAATTTTCATTTCTAGGTCTATAGAGACAATGGAACCATTGCCTCCTGTGAGTTATGATTTTGCCTTTGAGAAATGTGATTAATTCACCAAACTTGGGGTTCATACCAACAGCACACATACACATTCAAAGTGTCCCAAGAGAAGAAGAGAGAAACAAAGCAAAAACTAAAATAAATTATCCAAGGACTAGGAAGTTGCAACATTTATTGCCTTCTGTCGCTATGCTGAAAGGAAAACAATAACAGTTCTGGAGTTACCTGTTTCTCAAGGATTAAATTTTATGAGACTAACAACAAGCTTCAAAAGGTAATTAATGAAAAATGAATAAAAAGAAGGAAAATGATAAAGACCACAAAGAAAATCTGTGATCTATATCATAAATAATGTGGCTATTCCACATCAGTAATTTAAGAGCAATTTGTTTATTCATTTACTATATGGATAAATAATTATCCGATCACAACAAAAAATCATCCTATAGGATAAGAACTATGGTGAGGTTTTGATGAATTTTTCCAGCCGTAGTTGGCTTGGATCTTCAATGAAAAAGGAAAACCCTAATAAACATCATCGCCCTTATGAATAAATGAATTCTCTTTCTCCATTCTTTCTATTACAAGCCATCTCTAGGCTAATATTTAACTTTTTAAAGTCATTTCTAATGATTTGATCTCATGTCAATTTCGGGTGCCCTATTTACCTCCTACCCTCTATGCAAATTATCCTACCTGTTCTCACCGGTGCATATATAGATCTTTTGTGTATATGTCCGTATCACCCAAGTCTGTTCTCTCTAATCTTATCCTAATAGGTGTCACACCTAATTTCTACCTCACATTTTGGAAAACCTAATCTTTCTATGTTTTCATCGTTGCACCATTACAGCATGAAAGTATACATTTTAGAGAGATTGGACCTCCATGAGTTTCAACATCTATGTCCAAAATTATGATAATCATTTTCAATGTATTATGCAAAGAATCAAGAAGATTTGAAAGGGGAAAAAAACCATAATCTTCATGGAAGGAATCCAAGTTTTGCCCTTCCATAAAATCAACAATTGTCAAGGCAATTTCAAGCGATTCTTGAACTGGTTTGATGTTCTGGATTGAGTCCATAACTGCATGGATATTAGTGGATGGGTTGTTGAGGCAGGGGACATTGGCCGGATCAGGTGGAGTCGGGCAAGATGCTAATGATGTAGCGATGTTTGAGGTTGGGGATGAAGTGTTGTGATGGCAGAATAAATGTTGTAGCTGGAATCTAAAGAAAGGAGTCGTCCCAAGAAAAAGATACCATAAACGACATTTTCTTATTTTGTGTTCCAGACGTGTATCACTGGTCTAAAAAGAATAAACGATCCAGAAATTTTATTGGACTTAATCTTTTTGTATGATTGTTGATGTCATTTCAATTTTAATTTCTATCAAAAATAAAAGTTCAACCGTGTAAAGAAAGGTTGATGTTCCAACTAAAATAATTTTTTTTTTCTTTCAAAAAACTAAATAGAAAGTACTCCCTAGATTATAAATATTTTTCATAACTAAACCAAAATCTTACATTGCATATGCGAAATTAGCCCTATCATTTCAGGACAAGTATGGAACCAAACCTTGCACTCTGGAAGTAGCACAAATGCCTAGTCTAAAAAATGTAAGTGGTGCCAAGAAATGAAATATTAGCATGAGATAACTAATATGGAAGTTTAAATGTAAGCAATTAATTTATGTGATTTGTCTATCAATGAAAGTAATACTTCACTGTTGGCAAGAAAATCTGAAGATTTGATTTTGGCACTTCATACGTGCTCGATCAAAATAATTTCTATCTGAAGGAAATGAAAAATAGATGGCCAAAAATCAATTTATCATCTAAAGTTTTTATACTTCATAGACTCCATCATATTCATAATCAAAATAAAAAATGGCATACCCAAGAAGTTAGAGAAGGTAACCATCAAATGAAAGACAAGAAGAGTCAAATGGAGGTACAACATGCAACAAACACTAACAGAATGCACATATATGTGAGACTGATTTTATTCAAGTAGAGGACAACCAAAAGAACAACACAAGGGGCAAAAAACTTGGATAGAGGAGGTGAGAAAATATATGAATGCCTATGATTCTATGAATGGTCTGCCTTCAGATTGACCTGATCACATGATAAAATATATATTTATATACAAGTCATCTAAAGACATGTTGAAATTAAGATTATGTTAAGTTGAATTAAGTTCAAAACCGTTTATACATAATCTATTAATAATTGGCTGCAATCCTCTGCTTATAGAACACACAAACATCACTAAAGGTAACCCCAAGGGGGTGGAGTTTTGGCCAAGAACATGAATGACGAGGCAGAGGTCCTGGGGCTTGCCAAGTGTCACAAGGAGAATGGTCCCACCCAAAGGGTGAGGACATGCCTATGAGCCAACAAAAATAATGGAAAAGAAAAAAGAACCATTAAAGTTACTTAGGTACTTTTGTACTTTGAGTACTGATTATGTAAGATGCAGAGAGTATAAATGAAGTTACGAAAGATATGACTAATTTTTCAGCAATATTGCTGTTGCATGGCGGTGGCATACACTGGAGCAACCATCGACACCAACAAAGTGTATCCAAAGAATCCGATAGCAAAAAATACAATGACATCAATAATACCTCTTATTTATTGCTTAGAATGGGACTCAACTAAGTATTGCATTTCCTGATCAATTGTCATTAGGAAAGAAAACGTGATTATACTAGTAAAAGACATTATACAAGACAAATTCATTCTCTGCATTAGGTGAATGTTCTCCATCCCCACACACCCACTTCAGAACTTCCAAAGAAATCAACAATTAATGCACCAATTCTTAATATAAAAAAGGAGAAGGTAGTTTCCAAGCAAAATTGTAGCTAATACATCTCTTCATTTCATTGAAATATTAGGACATAATTTGGTTTAAAATTTTTTTTTTTTCTTTATGATTGGTTGAGAGAGAGAAAATGTTCAGTCTTCTAACTTGCACCAAGATTCCATAACTTTCTTAACAAGTATCAATGGAGAAAAGAGAAAAAGAGGTGGCAAGAAGAGGAGAAATTATCAATCTTTTAAGCATTACTCTTTCATCTCATTATTGGCTATTTGTCATAACAAATACCATAAACGAGCATCACCTGATGATATTGCCATGATCCAGTTCCTTCAAAAGTGAGATTTCTCTTATTACTGAACTGGGGACACCTTCATCTTCATCTCTAAAGAAAATCCTCTTCAGAGCTACAGTCGCATTGGTCATGAAATCACGGCACTTGTAAACCACACCAAAACTGCCTTGTCCAATCTTCTCAATCCGCTCATACTGCGAATCAAATAGGATGAGCAACCATGCAAGGAGACTTGGAGTAGTATCAAAGTAACCTAGAAGTAACAAACCCTACCTTATTGCCCATTTATCAAGTCAAACAGAACCACCACTGAAGGAAAATCTGAAGTTTTTGATCTGGAAAAATAGGAAAATGGATTTCTAATAAATGGTCAATTAACAAGGGAAAATAAATTGTTATGTAAACACATAATCAAGCTAAGCCTCAAAATAGAACAGTTGATAATCATGAAATACAAAGAAACTCAAAAGCTTTCAAACCACAAATCTGCATTGAGAAGAAAGAAATAAACTAATGAACAGACAAATCAACTAAGAAACTTCCAAAAATTTAACCATTACAAATAGAAAAATAAACGAAACCAGACGTGCCAAAAGAAAACATTTGGAGGGACACTTGACCAGAACTTAAAAGCCATAAATGCAATGAGTGGTTATCCATAAACAAATGTATCTAAACTCTCAGTCCTGAACAAAGTTTTCAGTGCTAGACATGCCAAAGGTAGCCATATTAGTTTTTGGAACCTTAGATCCAATCGAGAATAAATGTCCTTTTTGCCTTTACATTTCTTGTAAAGTCATTTATCATGCATAATATTCTTCAAAATATCTGTTCTTCCAACACTAGTTAAAGTAACACCAAAAGTCCCAAAATACTAATCTACCTAGCTTAAAAAGAGAGTGAACCCAAAACAGTCATTTTATTCCTTCTGCTGCAGAAATATTTTACATTTTCTTTAGCCAATTGCTATAGAAATCAAAACTCCAAAAGGTTGTATGGTTATTAATAACTTCAATATTGATATTCTACATCCCACTATTCGTATTTAGCAAGATGCTAAGCACCAAAAGAGACTCATTATTGGGTCACTAGAAAACAGAAGTAAAGGTGGCTGGAGATCACGAAACATATTAACTGTTTGATAATTTAAGATCAACAACTAAATTCTTCAATATGCAGATAATTTCATCTCTAAAGTTCTGAATTCTATCTTCAAATGCTTCAATTGTTTACTCAAGTGTATTATTTTCTGTCTATGAAACTTAAGAAATTGTAATATGTACTGATAATGAACATATATATCTTGCACACTCGATAGTACAATCAGAATATCAGACCAGTGATTCAATTTAGCACATAAAAGAACAAGAAAGTTTCTACAGAAAATCATCATAAATCATCACCATCATCATCTCATAGACGTATAAATACAGATCTATGCATATATATATATATATATATATATATATATATATGTACATGCGCTAGGGCTTACATAGCCTAATATAGAAAAAAGAACTTATCGCAATCAACAGTTATTGACAAATTGTATATTGAAATTGAAGATGTTATATGTGTGTGTATACGCACACGACCTTCAGACATACATAGCAATCACAAGATCGTAGTAATCAAGAGATCGTATGGATCTGACAAAGCTCAAGCTCAAACAAATATTAAAACTAAGATACTGTAATTGAAATTGAAGATGATGTGTGTGTGGGAAGTGTGTGTCTAGAGAGAGAGAGAGAGAGAGAGAGAGTTTACTTGGAAGAAATAGTGACGATCACCGGTTTTGCCCTAATTTCATGCTTGTTTTCGAAGTCGAACAATAGTTGCAGATGAGAGCTCTAAAGCGAAAATCTGCTGAAATGAGGAGAGAGAATCTTATTTATACACACACAAATACAGAGGCGTAACTGCATTTCCCTCCAAAATCAGAAAGAGGAGATGATGGGTGTAGCGATTGTAAAGTGCTCTCCATCATCCAACCCCTCAGAACCGTTGGATGCATTTTGAATGTCATTACAACTTATTTTTTTTATTTTTTATTTTTGCCATATCGAATGATGATCATGATTGCTACAACCTTTTTAAATTTTAATTTGTATTTTTATAAACGAATGGATTTGAAGGTAAATAATTAGAGTTTAAAAAAAAATTAAGAAGTGAAATTAAAAATTGAGAATTGCAAAGATATGTTTTGTTTAAGAATTTTTTCTATTTTTTTAATATTCAATTTTATTATTATTTTATGTGGACATAAATAGAATATTATAATCAATGTGTAATTTTTATTACATTTACACTATTATAAAAAATACATAGAGTTCTGATGCAAAGTGAATTGTAGTTTTATAGCTAAATCTCTTTAAAATGAACATAAATAATGAACGTTCGGTAAGATTTGTTACATTTTGCATAAATACATACTATATGATTCATTTTTTTTTTAAAAAAAAATCCAATACCCAAAGTGATAAAAAGCCCTTTATTTGTTTTTTGTTACCATAACTGAATAACTGTAGCAATTTTTTTTTTCTAAAATCAATATAATATATAACTTTTTTCGTTTTTACAGTCTCTAAACATTACTTTTTCTTTTAAAAAATTGAATAAATTTAGTTTACCAAACGTTATAAAAAAATAATAATAATAAATCGACTTTTTTTTTTCAGTAAAAATTGTAACCTTTGATAAACACCGGTGTGGTGTCCGCCAAAAAACTCTCCGTGATCGGAATTCTAAAATTAAGCGAAAGCTTTTGCCAATAAGTGATAGTTATGAAAGGAGAACAAAACTAAGGTTGGAAGCTGTCCCCTACAGTTAATTCAAAAGTAGGGAATTTGAGGTTGATTTGGTGCTTGGCTTTTGCTTCAGTAAATCAGCCTTTGTAATCACGGTTCTGATCAATTGCGAGCAAACCCAATTGGTTTAGAGGAACAAGCATTCGATTTTAGAAGATAAATGTAAGCCAATTTCTCACAACACATTTATGTAGTTAAATGTGCACAAGTTGAATTCTCATTGACATGAAATTTTCGTGCAATTCATTCATAATCAATCTGCATTCTCAGGACCTGTTTGGTTTTTAAACGGATAAATGGACAAATTCTCATATATCATGTTTGGCGGCACCGAATTCCCGCCTTGATTTGGAGCATCCAAACATAACAATCCTGACCGCTCCAATTAGCCTCATTAAGCTGCTTATAAGATTCTCAAACTCTGATGAACATCATTGGTAAAGGAAAAAGATAAAAGCAAGACAAGTAGATGAAGGCACAAAGTAGTAGTCTCTCATTCATGTCCATTTACCTGGGAATAATAACGAACAGATCCACAGAGGCAAATATCAGGGAGAGACTGGCTTTGCACTACAAAGCACATTGAAGATGACTATGGCTCGGTAAATTTGCGGCAAAAAAAAAAAGATCTAAAGGCCGAATCCAAGAATTAGAAGCAATACCCTCCACCTCTGGTTTCATAATATTTCCACACAACCAAACAAGAGAAATCATATTTCACCTAATTTTTGGTGAGATTCAAGACCTTGTTATCGTAATAGTTTCAGTAGAACAGTAGTAACGAGTGCAAGTTATGTACACAGTTTTGTTAGTGAAGCGGAAAAGAAGAATTGAGTTCGATAGATGCAGAGAGTACATGGATGAACGAACTATCCAACCATTCGGAGCTCAATTACGGAAGTATGCATGCTGGAGTGCATCAGAAGCAGTAATCCTTCTACTTGGATCCAAGATCAGCATTTTCTGCATAAAAACAACAGATAAAATTTATATGTTATATATATTCACTCGCTTTCAAAATGCAGTGACATTTTAAAACTAGATAGCTAAATTTAATGTGAGTGGTGGTGATCCTCAAATCCTTTATAATGATTAGAACCAGAAACTCCTTGTGATGTATCAGAAACAGACTAAGGTATACATATATATATAGCAAAATCACAACTTACAGAAAGAAGATCCAATCCAACAGCTCCAACTCCAGCGGCCTCGGTTGCAAGGTTTCGTGTGACAATAGTGGGGAACTGTCGGCAGTAAGAGAAACAATTGGTGAGGACAGTGCCGTTTTTAAGATATATTCTGTGACAAGAACATCAAAGAGACAAAGCAAGCTCAAAATCCTCTATTACCGCAATCATTTTAGTAATGTAGACATATAATGAAGTCACTCCAGGCCAGGTTGCTTCAGTTGGCACACCAAACATTCTTCATACAGGAATGCAAAAGTCAATATGACTGAATGAACTTGACATGGAAATTGAATATGCACATAAAATCGGTTTGTATGAGCTATATAGCACCTGAATATTTCCATCAATACATTAAATTCAGATTGTGCTTGGAACAGAGGCTGACCAGTCACCATCTCAGCAAATATACACCCCACAGACCACATATCAACCGGAGTGGAGTAATTGGCACCAAGCAGGAGTTCGGGTGCCTTGTATGCTAAAGTTGCAACCTGGAGTGCACTTCAAAAGTATGAAAATCATAGACAATGTGATAACCAAGTTGACTCATGCTTGAATAGTTTCCTTGTAAAAGAATATAGTGTTTCTCAAGAAGTGATCAAAACATACAACTTAATTGCTCAACATTACATTTGCAAGGGACTTCCTTTCCTAGTAAGGCCCGAATCACAACCTCTAGAGTGTACGCAGTCCACCACCCAATAGCATGTTGACCCCAGAAGCAGAAACCCATATTTCTTCTAGAGAATCTCCTAATTGTTCCAGAGCAACTAGAAAGAAGCTGCTGGAAATAAGAGAAGAGAAAGAAACGAAAGCAGGCAAGAAATCCTACGATCATTTTTCTCTTTTCATCCAAACAACATTGAGAAAGAATGATACCAGTTATACGAAATTAATATTCGAATGTCACTTTTCCGACTACTGTGGGTTTACAAAAGACACCTAAAGGAGAACTTCCCAAATTTCTCTCGCTTGCTACGCCCACAGTCAGGACTCAGGAGAATAATCATTTTTTATTCAACTAGTTATACAATAATAGAGCATCAATGCTTCAAAAAGACAATAAACATATTTGTTTTCTAAGTGGAAGAACAAATTACGCCACTCAGCCAACCCCATTCAGCTTGATCTCAACTTCCAGAGCAACATTCAGGAAGAATAACAATTTTACACAATCTAGAAATTGCTCAGTGTTCCCCATCCCACACTAAAGATACTTTTCTTTTTTTGGGGAACAATTATTTCTTTATTTTTATACATAAAAAAAAAAAAAAAAAAAAAAAAGCATATCTAAATGTCTCCTAAGTTGCGGTATTCAAATTGCGCAATTTCCAAGCCTACATATCCCCCGTGGCAAGTGAAAAATTGTTACCAAAGCAATCAGGTATACAAAAAGGACAAATACAAGGATAATGGTAATGAGCAGTGACATACCTTGCCGGTGTAGTTCCTAAGAGGAACACCAAATGCCCTGGCCAATCCAAAGTCAGCAATCTTCACTGCGCTGTTGTTGCCATCAATCAGCAAATTCTCAGGTTTCAAATCCCGATGGAGTATTTTATGAGAATGACAATAAGCAACACCACAGAGAATCTGAGAGAGAAAACCCTGCAGAGAGATCATGTTCGAAGCTAATCGTCATTGTCATCTCAACTAACTATCCAAAGTAACTGCAGACAAACAAAATATATAACTCTATATATATAATAATAATAAATAAATGATAAAAAATAAGAAAGATAAACAGGAGTATTTCGAAAACTGTATGGAGTTTCCGTCAGTGTCCTTCATTCTACTTTGCTTTTTTTTCCTGGGTAAATAAGGAATTTCTTTTATAGATATAACAAAAAGAGTACAATCATCAACAAGGGCATACCCTTGGCCAACAAGCTATAACCACAGCAAACATACTTGCAAAATAATTTAGGACTATAAGTTAATCATGCAAAGAGTAGGATCCGAGTTCCCCTAACTCCATGTCTGAGAGTAGCAGAACCTCTCCACAGATAGCTTGAGCAATGTGTACAGCAGTTCTTTGTTGCTCCTGGTGTAGTCTCTTGTTCCGCTCATCCCATAAATACCATATAGTTGTAGCACAAATACATTTTCGAGCCTTGTGTTTAATCCTATGTTGCACAAACCAGGCAATGAGCTGGTCTAATTGAGGCATGTTCCATCCAAGCAGGGTAGACAACCAATGCCAAACAGCCTCTGCTAGAGTACATGTGATAAACAGGTGGTCTAAATCATCCTCAGCATGCTTACAGTTATGGCATATGGCCACCATCTGCATTCCCCTTTTTTTAAAATTCACATAAGACAACAACTTATTTTAGACTGCAAGACAACAAACCAGTGATGCTCTAGGTCTGCATCCATTCCAACACACTGCGTACCAGCCCACTTCAGGTTGTTGAATCCTCCTCCATCTATCCCACACAGTTTTAAAGAAAAAACCTTCATTCTACTTTATTCATCATATTACCACTCAATTTTATCAGACAATACAAAATTGAAAATATCGTTGACGTGAAATTTATAAGTAAACCACCTCAAGCGTTTTCATGTCACAACAATAGAAAAGTGCTAGTGTCAAATAAAAAATATTTATACAATAAAGAAAAGTTTATCAATCTGTAAAAGTGAAAAGAGAAGGCCGTAAACATCTATACCATTTCATCAATGCACCAGTTTAGCTTTATTTTTAAGCTACAGACATAAGTAACCAATTTATGTAAATACATCCAAAAGGCTCTCACCCACCTTTATTTTTTGTCGATCCTTTACAACCTCAGGATAAGATGCAATGAACTTTGATAGATCAAGGTCCAGATACTCAAAAATGAGATCCACGCCAGCCCAATTGTTTATTACCTCAAGTAACCTGTTTCCAAAGTTCCACACACATTATTATATATATATAGAAATTCACAAAATTAGGACGCTTTACATGTTGTCAGAAGTTCAAGAAATTAAGAAAGTTAATAGAAAGATATATAGCAGATAAATCAAACATAAGAGATTTACTAGTATTTGCAACCAATAAATTTTTAATGTATATTAAATAGATAAGGGCCTTTTTGAACTAAGGATGCACTATACTCATGAGACAATCAAGTTCTACATACATCCATCAACCAAAACAACAATTAAAAGAGAATGGAAAGTTAGCCCTCCTTAATATATTCATTTTGGTACAAGTATTTTTAGAAGTGTGATATAGCATAAAATGCCAAAAAACAAATCCAGCAATGTCTGCCTCAGTGGAAGTAGGCATCTGATGTCTCATCTTCATTCTGCTATTACAAATAATAGAAATACAAGTGATATGTTGTACTGTATGATACACAAGCTATCAAGAATAATATATCACAAGTAATACCCAGGAAAAATATAAATCATTGTATAAACACCATTTCACAGATGATTATTATTATTTTTCTGATAAGCCATAAAAGTCCCACATGAACTAAATGGCCCCATTGAGTTCTAGATAGTAGATAGCATTCCTAGGAATACATCCATCACCTCAGATAGAGCCATTACAAGGAGGGGAAAAAAGAGAGGAGTTATCTCATAAATAATGACATAAGATTTAATTTACTTTAACGACGGGTTTGTAATGATTATTACAGAAAATGATGAAGCCTTTTATTTTCTAGATTTATAATCTTTCATTTTTAGTTCAATAAAGACACAATGGGATCATATGCCCCTTGTGAGTCATAATTTTGCCTTTGAGAATTGTGATTAATTCACCAAGCATGGGGCTCATAACAACAACACAAGCATACACATTCGAAGTGCCCCAAGAGAAGAAAAGAGAAATAAAGCAAAAACTAAAATAAATTATCCAAGGACTAAAAACTTGCAACATTTATTGCCATCACTCACTATGCTGAAAGGAAAACAAGAATAGTTCTGGAGTTAACTTTTTCTCAAGGGTTAAAATTTATGAGACTAGCTGCAAGCTTCAATGGGTAATTGAGGAAACATGAACAAAAAGAAGGAAAATGATAAAGACAACGCTTGTGATTTATATGATGAATTACGTGGCTATTCCACGTTGATAATTTAGGATAAATTTGTTTATTCATTTATTATATATATAAAAATTAAAAAATTAAAAAAAAAAATGAAAAAAAAAAAAAATCATCCTATAAAATAGAGAACAATGGTGAGGTTTAGATGAATTTGTCCAACAACAGTTGGATTCGGGTCTCCACTGAAAAAGGAAAACCCTAATCATCGTCATCCTTGCCTTATTCCCATATGAATACATGGATTCTCTTTCTCCATTCTTTTCTAGTACAAGACATCTCTCCTCTAATATTTAACTTTTTAAAGTCATTTCTTATGATTTCATCTCATGTTAATTTCGGGTACCCTCTTTGCCTCTTACCCTTTGTGAAAATTATCCTTCCTCTCCTCACCGGTGCATATGTAGATCTTTTGTGTATATGTCCATACCACCTAAGTATACTCTTTTTAATCTTGTCACTAGCGGTGCCACTCCTAATTTCTCCCTCACATTTTTGAAAACCTAATCTTGCTACGTTTTTATCTTTGCACCATTACAAAATGAAAGTATATGTCTTAGGGATATTGTACCTCCACGAGTTTCAACATCTATGTCCAATATTATAATAATCATTTTCTGAAATGTAATACGCAAAGAATCAAGAAGATTTGAAAGGAAAAAAAAAAAAACATAGATCTTCATAGAAGGAGTCCATGTTTTGCCCTTCCATAAAATCGACAATTGTCAAGACAACTACAAGCAATTCTTGTACTGGTTTGATGTTCTTGATCGAGTCCATAACTGCATGGATATTAGTGGATGAACCATTGAGGCGGGATAGATTGGCTGGATCAGGTGAAGGAGTCAGGCAAGATGCTGTTGAAGTAGCAATGTTTGAGGTTCGGGATGAAGTGTTGTGATGACAGAATAAATGTTGTAGCCAGAGTCAAAAGAAAGTAGTCTCGAGAAAAAGATAAGCCAAACGACATTTTCTTACTTCGTATTTGATACGTGTATCACTTCTCTAAAAAAGAATAAAGGATCAGGAAATTTTCTTTTTATAATTATTGATGTCATTTCAAATTTAATTGTCAATAACAAGATGTTCAACCATGTAAAGAAAGGTTGATGTTGCAACTAAAATAATTTTTTTTAAAACCAAAAAGAAAGTACTCCCTAGATTAGAAATATTATTCATAACTAAATCAAAATCTTGCATTATATGCATATGCAATGCAAGATTTTGATTTAGTTATGAATAATTTCAGTCCTAGCTTTTCAGGACAAGCATGGAACCAAACCTTTCACTCTGGAAATGGCACAAATGCCTAGTCCCACAAATGTAGTGTTGCAATAAATGATATATTAGCATGAGATAACTAGTCTGGCAATTTAAATGTAAGCTATTAAGTTATGTGATTAGTCTCTCAATTAAAGTAATACTTCACTGTTGGCAAAAAATTTAACTTGGTTTAATAATATTTGATTTTGCCACTTCATACATGCTCAATCAAAATAATTTCAATCTGAAGGATACAGAAAATAGATGGCCAAAAATCATTTTATAATCTGAGGTTTTTACACTTCATAGACTCAATAATATTCATAACCAAAAGAAAAAATGGCATACTCAAGAAGTTAGAGGAGGTAACCATCAAACAGAAGACAAGAAAAGTCATCTAAGATGGAGGTGCAACATGTAACAAACAGTAACAGAATGCACAAATATGTGAGACTGATTTTATTCAAGTACACGACAACCAAAAGAACAACACAAGGGGCAAAAAACTTGGATTGAGGAGGTGAGAGAAGATATGAATGCCTATGATTCTATGAATGATCTGCCATCAGATAGACCTGAGCACCTGACAAATATATATATATATATAAATAATCTAAAGACATGTTGAAATTAAATTTATGTTAAGTTGAATTAAGTTCAAAACCATTTATACATAATCTAATATTTATTGGCTACAAATCTCTGCTTATAGGACCCACAAACATCGTTAAAGGTAACCCCAAGGGAGTGGAGTTGTTGACCAAAAACACGACTCACGGGGCGGAGGTTCTGGGTTCGACGCCTCACACTACTACTCATTGGGGCCTGCGACGTGTCGGAAGGAGAATGATCCAACCCAAAGGGTGAGGACTCCCCTCTAAGTCAACAAAAAGAAAAAAGAACCATTAAAGGTACTTAGGTACTTTGCATTTTGAGTACTAATCATGTTAAGATGATAAATGAAAGACATAATTAATTTTTCATACAATATTGCTGTTGCATGGCAGGTGGCATACAATGGAGCAACCATCAACACAAACCAAGTGTATCCTAAGAATCCATAAGCAAGAAATATTATGGCATCAATAATACCTCTAACTTATTCCTTAGCATGGGGCTCTACTAAGTTTTGCATTTCATGATAAATTGTGTCATTAGGAAAGAAAACGTAATTATATTAGTAAAACGACATTATACAAGACAAATTCATTCTCTGCGTTAGGTGGACGCTTCAGAACTTCCAAAAGAAATCAACAATTAATTCACCAATTCTTAATATAGAAAAGGAGAAGGTAGTTTCCAAGCGATAGTGTAGCGAATCCATCTCCTGTAACTTGCACTAAGATTCCATAACTTTCTGGACCAAATATCAATGGAAAAAAGAGAAAAAGATGTGGCAAGAAGAGGAAAAACTATCAAACTTTTAAACATTACTCTTTCATCTCATACAGTAAACTAGCATTACCTGATTATATTGCCATGATTCAGTTCCTGCAAAAGTGAGATTTCTCTTATTACTGAACTGGGGACACCTTCATCTTGATCTATAAAGATAATCCTCTTCATAGCTACAGTTTTATTGGTCGCGTGTTCACGGCACTTGTAAACCACACCAAATCCGCCTTCTCCAATCTTCTCAATCAGCTGATACTGCAAATCCAACAGCATGAACAACCATTCAAGGAAACTTGGAGTAGCATCAAAATAAATCAGAAGTAAGGAACCTTACCTTAGAGTCCATTTATCAGGTCAAGCAGGACCAACACCAAAGGAAATCTGAAGTTTTTGAGCTGTAAAAATGGAAAATGGAGTTCTAATAAACGATCAATTAACATGGGAAAATAATAGATGTGTTAACAAATAATCAAGCTAACCCTCAAAATAGGACAGTTGATAGTCATGAAATACAAATAAACTCAAGAACTTGCAAACCAGAAATCTGCATTGGGAAGAAAGAAAATAACTAATGATAAAACAAATCAACACAGAAGCTTCCAAAATTTTAACCATTACAAGTACAAAAAGAACTGAAACCAGACGTGCCAAATGGAGAAAATTCGGAGGGACATTTGACCAGAACTTAAAAGCCATAAATGCAATGAGTGGTCATCCATAAACAAATGTACCGAAACTCTCAGTCCTGAACAAAGTTTTCAGTGCTAGACATGCCAAAGGTAGTCATGGATGGACTAAATTGAAAAGGAAAAATAAAAAATAAGAAATTTCTAAAAATTAGTTTTTGGAATTTCTTGGATCCAATTGGGAATAAATTTTCTTTTTCCCTTTTCATTTCTAACATACACAGCTTAAAAAACGGTAAACCCAAAAATCTCATTTTATTCCTTCTGCAGCAAAATATTTTACATTTTCTTTAGCCAATCACTATAGAAATCAAAACTCCAAACGTTGCATGGTTATTAATAACTTCAATATTGTATTATACATACCAGTTTTCCTATTTCATCCTTCTTTATTTATCATTGCCCACATAGCCTCCAAAATATCTTACAAGTCTTACTAAGCAAGATGCTAAGCACCAAAAGAAACTCGTTATTGAGTCAATACACTGTTTCTTTTCTTGGTGCACCCTCAGTTTATCCTTCACCTTTCTTTTCTATTTAGAAGAAACATTATTTCTTTGTGCATCCACAGTTTTTCCTTCACTTTTTTTTTTTCCTTCTATTTTATTCCATGCCAATGGAATGCATCTTTAAGTAAACACAACTAACAAATAATTCAATTAACTTTATAAAATAATTCACCTGATTTATCATAAGAAATAACAACAATTCACCTGACTCGAATGTAGCCTTTTTCAGCCATTTTCTGACTAGTTTGCCTGTGGAAGAACCTCAAAACTTAAATTCATCGTGTAGCAATGGGAAAACAGATCCTTCTTTGTACACTGTATGAGTTTAACAGAGCTTCTAACGTCGAAAGTCATGTGTAACTTGAATAATAGAAATAAATTATAAACAATAAAGATTAATGGTTGGAGATATAAAAACACCAAAATGGGAATAGGAAGAGAAAATTAACAATAAAGTACCACAGTTCAGTCTGATGGTTGTTGAAATCTAATCAATTATCGTCGAATGCACTTACTTCAAGTTTTAGAACTTTCTCTTCCTTTTTCTTTTTTCTAAATGTTCTTTTTCTTTTGGTAGGTAACGACAATGAAGAAAATAAACATAAAATATATATAAGTATAAAGCAGAAGAGAGCACATCCTATAGAAAAAACAAATAGCACATCTGGACAATAAAAGACAAACATCGATATACATATCTCCAATAAAGCTACATTGGCAACCAACAATGAACTGAAGAAACGATGACAACTATCTCCAAAGTCAACATAAACTACATTCTAAACCAAGTCATAAGTAGTTTCTAACTAAAACCTATTTCCTACTTTTGATCATGATGACCATCTAGTTCGGACTTCCTCCTTAATCCTGTAAAGCACCCTGGAGCTTTTATTTATTTATTTATTTTTATTTTTTATTTTTTATTTTTTTATTAAGTAAGCACCCTGGAGCTTTTATTACTACTATTATTCATAACTTTGCAATTTATTTGTTCCAAAGATGGCAGAAGCTGTCATAGCCAATATCACTTGAACAACATTTTTTCATTACTAGTACTATTCGTAGCTCTGTGATTTATTTGTTCCAAATATGGCATACACTAACTGTGAAATCCAGAATCAGTTAAACAACAATAGTGTTATCCTTATATTTCCTGTGAACCCAACCTACTTCAGAGCCACTTCACACAAGCTTATAAATATAACAAGTTGCATAATATGGTTTCCAACAGAAGCATCTGAAAATATTATGGTTAATAGTTTCTGTAGCACCTGAATATAGTAAAAAACTAAAACTATTAATAGTTTCTGTTTCCCATACAGTCATTTTACCCCCTAGTTGGTAGTCTTCCTCAAGGGTTGACCAAAGAATGAATACATGCACAAAAATATCTAATTTCTACTGTCAATTCAATACCAAAAAGAATAACTCGCACTTGATTATTAAGTCCACAAAGTAGTCATGCTCAACAAAGTCCCCAAAGATGAGTTAAGGGGGTACTCCTATTGTGAATCAGAAAAATTCTAGCAAATGTTCATCACAATTAACACCATCTCTCAAGATATGAGCTACTATTGCAGAGAAGGGATGGCTACTTTATACATAATTACAAACATCTCTATAAAAGTTGGACCAATTTGTTGCCACTTATCTGTCTGTGCCGGCAGAACAACATAGTCCATAAAACTATCATAGAATTCCATAAGACTAGACAATAGAATACCACTCTACTCTTGGATAACTATTCATAACACATTCACATCAAAACTCCCAAATGCAAACAGGGTCAATAAAATACAGTCTTCCTCACCAATTCCACACAAATAAAGGATGCTCAAGAACGCAAAACATATTAACTGTTTGATCATTTAAGATCAACTACTAAATTCTTCAATTATGTAGATGATAATTTCATCTCTAAAGTTGTGAATTCTATCTTCAAATGCTTTAGTTGTTTACACAAGTGTATAATATTCGATCTATGCAACCTATGAAATTGTAATTTGTACGGTTAATGAACAGATATCTTGCACATTCAAAACAATCTTTATATACTATTAAGCCACAAGTTCTGAATATATCTTCAAATGCTTCAATTGTTTACACAAGTGTATAATATTCCATCTATTCAACCTAAGAAATTGTAACCATCTTTATATACTATTAAGCCACAAGTTCTTCAGCAACTTGTACAATCAGAATATCAGACCAACGATTCAATGAAGCACAAAACAACTAGAAAGTTTCTACAGAAAATCATCCTAAATATATAGAAGATTTCATACAGATCTATGCATATAGAATATATATATATATATGTACAGTCGCTAGGGCTTACATAGCTTAATACAGATCTATGCATATAGAAGTGTCATATATATATATATGTATGCTTAATACAGATATATGCTTACATAGCTTATGTATCTGTGCACGTACAAGCTTCGGACATACATAGCAATCAAGAGATCGTAGGGATCTGACAAAGCTCAAGCTAAACAAAAATTAAAACTAAGATACTATAATTGAAATTGAAATTGAAGATTTAATAGAAATTGAAGATATAATTGAAATTGAAGATGATTCGTGTGTGTTAAAGTGTCCGTAGAAGTGTGTGTTTAGAGAGAGAGGAGAGAGGAGAGAGGAGAGAGAGAGTTTACTTGAAGAACTGGTGACGATCACCGGTTTTGCCCTAATTTCCCGATTGTTTCTGAAATCGAACTAGAGTTGCAGACAGAGTTTCAAAGTGAAAATTTGGTGAAATGAGGAGAGAGAATCTTGTTTATACACACAAATACAGAGGCGTAACTGCATTTCCCTCCAAAATCTATAAGAGGAGATACTGGGTGTGGCACTTGTACAGTGCTCTCCATCATCCAACCTCCCAGCACCGTTTGATGTAACATCCGTACAGTCCCTCTCCATCATCCAACCTGTTATCACCTTTGAATGTAGCACTTCTATGGTGCTTCTGGACGTCTGTTGAATGCATTGAAGGCAAGTTTGGGTAAGTTTCTTTTTTCTTACATAGTTTGGGTAAGTCTAGTTTATTAATTCTTAAAATTCCGTCTTTTCTAAAATGCAATTTCTATTATTCGTTTTTCGTGGACCTATTAAGAAGTACATTCATCAATGTGCAATTTATCTTATATCTATATTTATTAATATTAAAAGTACAGAAATATTGAAACTATAAATATTTTCGGTAAGATTTGAGACATTTTGCATAATTACACATCAGTATTAAGAACTTATATGAGCCTGCACAAAATATATGTTCCTAATCCTATATAAGCATATGTTTGTGAATATGCTGATAAGTATAAGCAAATCTTTACGAAGATATAGGAGACTACACGAGCTCATATTTATGAGCCTCGGCAAGTTAACATTAATAATGTTGAGAATTAACTCGTTTATCAAATCTTAAAAATTGACCTCTAACTTGGCCTATTTGTATAATAAACAAGTAGCCTTAGTCGAACTAGAAATAACTTGGTTTATTTGCAGCACTAATTCAACATGTTTCAATCTTGGTTATGGGAGATTTTGGTATTAATACAAGAAAAATGTTATAATACTTTGGCCTCGTCTATATTACTACACTTGTTTTACATCAACACCAAAAAATAAATAGATGAATAATTGCATGAGAATACGATAGTCCACGTTTATAACTGAACTTATAAACCGTATAATTTAAATAATGATTAAAATATTCATTCTCTAGTCCATCAAACAAAATAAATTTTCATATTTATTGTCCTTGAATATCACAAGTCACCTCATTTTTAATAAAATTGACCTTGTTCATTGTGTTAATAAACAAACAAGTTAATTAACTAATAAAGTGTGTGTATTGTACTCCAAAATCTAATAAAATAGAGAGTTTTTATCAACTATTACGAGGTATTCATCAAACACACATGAAACAAGGATGGAGATCACCTCATATGGAGCGTGATCTCCCCTCTACCCTTACCCTCTCTCATGCACAATGCTCTATTGAAAAAGATTTGAGATTTTTTTTTTTTCTTGAAATTTTTTTAATCTTGAAGTTGATACTTACTTTACAAATAAAGAGATAAATAGAAAGTGCAGGGTTTATAAGATTCTTTTGATTTTTAATAAGATTCATCGTCAGTAGTATATTAAAAAGAATAGACACAAATACAGAATACAAACTCAATACCACATTACAGATAAAGAGATAGATAGAAAGTGCTATTATAGATATAATAGATATGCAAAGAGAAAGCAATATAGAGAAAATTTCATTTTTGGGCCATCATTACAAGTACAACTTGTATTGCAAATTGCATATCAATTTGCAATGGGATTTGATGTTGTGTGGACCTCACATGATGATGATACAGAATAAGTGCAGGTTTTTTTAAGATTCTTTTGGATTTTAATAAGATTCATCATCAATAAATTAAGAAGTATAGACATAAATATAAAATACAGACCCAATATCACATGGATACAACATGTCGAGTTCTAAAAAAGTAGGACAACGTGAACACGACTAATATAAATATAATTTTTTTATTTATATATCTATTAATTAAGATAATTATAGAATTTTAATTAATTTATAATTTTTATACTAAACTTATTACATTTTAAGATATTATATATATATATATATATATAGAAGAGAAAGCTACAACTTATCACATTTAAATAAAATAATAGAAACTTGGTTTAACAGATATTAAAATACAACTTATCCCTTTTTCTAAAATCTAAATTGCGAAATTCCTCTCTTTTTTCACTCTTATTTTCTGAAATCAAAATTACAAAATTCCTCTCTTTTTTGAAATTTAAACTGCAAAATTTCTCTCTTTTTTCACTTTTCTTTTTCTGAAATCTAAATTGCAAAATTTCTCTCTTTTTTTAAATTTAAACTGCAAAATTCATTGCAGAGGCTTTTAATTTGTACATTCATTTTTGGTTCCAATCGTGGGAATAAGCAAGAGGAGAGAGGGAGAGATCTTTTTCGATAAAAATGAGGGAGAGAGAACGACGTTAACATCGTTAAAATATAATGAATTTTTCTTATTTCAAATACAGTTTTTAAACTTTGGTTAATTTTTCTTATTTATACACACACAATTACATAGGCGTAACTCCATTTCCCTCCAAAATCAGAAAGAGGAGATGCTGGGTGTAGCGATTGTAAAGTGCTCTTGATCAGCCAAGCCCTCAGAACCGTTGGATGCATTTTGAATGTCATTACAACTTTTTTTTGCCATAACGAATCATGATGATCATGATTGCTACAACAATTTTTTTTTTTAATTTTTTATCGACAAATGGATTTGAAAGTAAAGAATTGGAGATTAAATAAAAATTTAAGAAAGTGAAATTACAAATTGAGAATTGTAAAGATATATCTTATGATTCTTATGTTATTTTGAAATTTACACAAAATAAACTCAAATCCGTACTTACTAATTTGTCTTTTGTTGTTCACATCTATCCTCTACTTCATTTGGAAGGAGATGAATGAAAGATTTCATTATGATAAGTCTTCCAATGCAAATAAGATTGCTACAAGTATTATTTGGGAGGTTGAAGATATTTTAGGCTTAAATTTACATGATACAATTTTTATGTTTTTCTAGCACAGGTGAAGTCAGAATTGTTTTGTTGTTGCTTTGGGTTGTTTTTGATAGGGGTATGCCCCTTTGAGTTTTATGTACATTATTGTTCATATTTATGATAAAATTTCCTCCATTTAGGAAAAAAAAAAAAAAAAAAATCGTCTTTTGTTTATGATTTTTTTTTTTTTTTTAATATTCAATTTTTATTATTCTTTTTTGTGGACTTAATTAGAATATATTGATCAAAGTACATGTACATTATTATTATAAATATATAGAGTTCCTATGCAAAGTGATTTAAAATGGCATAATGACAATAAAAATGTTCGGTAAGATTTTTTACATTTTGTATAAATACATGCTATATGATTCATTTAAAAATTTAAGAAAAGATAAAAAGAAAAGGAAAAAAGAAAAAGAAAAAATCAAATACCAAAAGTGAAAAAAGTCCTTTTTATTTGTTTTTGTTACCATAACTGAACAACTGCAGCAAAAAATTTCTAAAATTAATATAATATATAACCTTTTTTTTTTTTTTTTTTTTACAATCTTCTAAACATTACTTTTTCTTTTAAAATATTGGATTAATTTAGTTTATCAAACGTATGAATGGTTCACAATAAATCATATTACCAAAAAAATAAATAAATAAATCGACATCATTTCTCGCAAAAAAAATGTAACCTTTGATAAACACCGGTGCGGTGCCCACCAAAAAACTCTCCGATGGTAATTCCGTGATCGGAGTTCTAAAATTAAGCAAAATCTTTTGCCAATCAGTGACAGTTACGAAGGGAGGACAAAACTAAGGTTGGAAGCTGCCCCCTATAGTAATTTCAAAAGTTGGGAATTTGAGGTTGATTTGGTGCTTGGCTTTTGCTTCAGTAAATCAGCCTTCGTAATCACATTTCTGATCAATTTTGATCAATTGTGAGCAAACCCATTTGGTTTAGGGAGGAACAAAGCATTCAATTTTGGAAGATAAATGTAAGCCAATTTCTCACAACACATATATAGTTAAATGTGCATAAAGTTTAATTTTCTTTGTAATAAGCAATTCATTCATAATCAATCTGCATTCTCATGACTCGTTTGGTTTTTAGACGTATAAACGGACAAATTCTCATGTTTAGCGTCACCGAATTTTGGTGCACCCAAACATAACATTCCTGTTTTCCCAAGGGCTCCAATTAGCCTCGTTAAGCTGCTTATAAGATTCTCTAACTCTGATGAACACCATCACTGGTAAAGGAAAAAGATAAAAGCAAGACAAATAGATGAAAGCACAAAGTAGTAGTCTCTCATTCATGAGACCCCCCATTTATGTCCATTTACCTGGGAGAGGCAAATATCAGGGAGAGACCGGCTTTGTCACCACTACAAAGCACATTGAAGATGACTACGGCTCGGTAAATTTGTGGCAAAAAAAGATATAAAAGCCGAAACCAAGCATTAGCAACAATACCCTCCACCTCTGGTGTCATAATATTTCCACACAACCAAACAAGGAGAGATGATATTCCACCTACTTTTTGGTGAGATTCAAGACCTTGTTATCGTAACAGTTTCAGTAGAACAGCAGTAACGAGTGCAAGTTATGTACGCAGTTTTAATAGTGGAGGGGAAAAGAAGAATCGAGTTCCATAGATGCAGAGAGTACATGGATGAACGAACCATCCAACCATTCGGAGCTCAATTACGGAAGTATGCATGCTGAAGTGCATCAGAAGCAGTAATCCTTCTACTTGGATCCAAGATCAGCATTTTCTGCATAAAAACAACAGATAAAATTTATATGTTATATATATTCACTCGCTTTCAAAATGCAGTGACATTTTAAAACTAGATAGCTAAATTTAATGTGAGTGGTGGTGATCCTCAAATCCTTTATAATGATTAGAACCAGAAACTCCTTGTGATGTATCAGAAACAGACTAAGGTATACATATATATATATAGCAAAATCACAACTTACTGAAAGAAGATCCAATCCAACAGCTCCAACTCCAGTGGCCTCGGTTGCAAGGTTTCGTGTGACAATAGTGGGGAACTGTCGGCAGTAAGAGAAACAATTGGTGAGGACAGTGCCGTTTTTAAGATATATTCTGCGACAAGAACATCAAAGAGACAAAGCAAGCTCAAAATCCTCTATTACCGCGATCATTTTAGTAATGTAGACATATAATGAAGTCACTCCAGGCCAGGTTGCTTCAGTTGGCACACCAAACATTCTTCATACAGGAATGCAAAAGTCAATATGACTGAATGAACTTGACATGGAAAATGAATATGCACATAAAATCGGTTTGTATGAGCTATATAGCACCTGAATATTTCCATCAATACATTAAATTCAGATTGTGCTTGGAACAGAGGCTGACCAGTCACCATCTCAGCAAATATACACCCCACAGACCACATATCAACCGGAGTGGAGTAATTGGCACCAAGCAGGAGTTCGGGTGCCTTGTATGCTAAAGTTGCAACCTGGAGTGCACTTCAAAAGTATGAAAATCATAGACAATGTGATAAACAAGTTGACTCATGCTTGAATAGTTTCCTTGTAAAAGAGTATAATGTTTCTCGAGAAGTGATCAAAACAAACTACTTGATTGCTCAACATTACATTTGCAAGGGACTTCCTTTCCTAGTAAGGGACGAATCACAACCTCTAAAGTGTACTCAGTCCACCACCCAATAGCATGTTGACCCCAGAAGCAGAACCCCATATTTCTTCTAGAGAATCTCCTAATTGTTCCAGAGCAACTAGAAAGAAGCTGCTGGAAATAAGAGAAGAGAAAGAAATGAAAGCAGGCAAGAAATGCTACGATCATTTTTCTCTTATCATCCACACAACATTGAGAAAGAATGATACCAGTTATACGAAATTAATATTCGAATGTCACTTTTCTGACTACTGTGGGTTTACAAAAGACACCTAAAGGAGAACTTCCCAAATTTCTCTCGCTTGCTATGCCCACAGTCAGGACTCGGGAGAATAATCATTTTTTATTCAACTAGTTATACAATAATAGAGTATCAATGCTTCACAAAGACAATAAACATATTTGTTTTCTAAGTGGAAGAACAAATTACGCCACTCAGCCAACCCCATTCAGCTTGATCTCGACTTCCAGAGCAACATTCAGGAAGAATAACAATTTTATACAAAGTAATGTCCAAATGTCCCCAAGGGGCAATCTAGAAATGTCCCCAAGGGGCAATCTAGAAATTGCTCAGTGTTCCCCATCCCACACTAAAGATACTTTCTTTTTTGGGGGAACAATTATTTCGTTATTTTTATACATAAAAAAAAAAAAATTAAAAAAAACAAACAAACAAACAAACAAACAAAAAAAAAGGCACATCTAAATGTCTCTTAAGTTGCGGTATTCAAATTGTGCAATTTTCAAGCCTACATATCCCAGTGGCAAGTGAAAAGTTGTTTCCAAAGCAATCAGGTATACAAAAAGGACAAATACAAGGATAATGGTAATGAGCAGTGACATACCTTGCCAGTGTAGTTCCTAAGAGGAACACCAAATGCCCTGGCCAATCCAAAGTCAGCAATCTTCACTACACTGTTGCTGCCGTCTATCAGCAAATTATCAGGTTTCAAATCCCGATGGAGTATTTTATGAGAATGACAATAAGCAACACCACAGAGAATCTGAGAGAGAAAACCCTGCAGAGAGATCATGTTCGAAGGTAATCGTCATTGTCATCTCAACTAACTATCTAAAGTAACTGCAGACAAACAAAATATATAACTCTATATATATAATAATAATAATAATAATAAAATGATAAAAAAAATAAGAAAGATAAACAGGAGTATTTCGAAAACTGTATGGAGTTTCCGTCAGTGTCCTTCATTCTACTTTGTTTTTTTTCCTGGGTAAATATGGAATTTTTTTTATAGATATAAAAAAAAGAGTACAATTATCAACAAGGGCATACCCTTGGCCAACAAGCTATAACCACAGCAAACATACTTGCAAAATAACTTAGGACTATAAGTTAATCATGCATAGAGTAGGATCTGAGTTCCCCTAACTCCATGTCTGAGAGTAGCAGAACCTCTCCACAGATAGCTTGAGCAATGTGTAAAGCAGTTATTTATTGCTCCTGGTGTAGTCTCTTGTTCCTCTCATCCCATAAATACCATATAGTTGTAGCACAAATAAGTTATTGAGCCTTGTGTTTAATCCTATGTTGCACAAACCAGGCAACGAGCTGGTCTAATGTAGAGAATCGAGGCATGTTCCATCCAAGCAGGGTAGACAACCAATGCCAAACAGCCTGTGCTAGAGTACATGTGATAAACAGGTGGTCTAAATCATCCTCAGCAAGCATACAGTTATGGCATATGGCCACCATCAGCATTCCCCTTTTTTTCAAATTCGCATAAGACAACAACTTATTTTGGACTGCAAGATAACAAACCAATGATGCTCTAGGTCTGGATCCATTCCAACACACTGTGTACCAGCCCACTTCAGGGTGTTGAATCCTCCATCTATCCCACACAGTTTTAAAGAAATAACCTTCATTCTACTTTATTCACATATTACCACTCAATTTTATCAGACCATACAAAATTGAAAATATCATTAACGTGAAATTTATAAGTAAACCACCTCAAGCGTTATCATGTCACAACAATAGAAACGTGCTAGTGTCAAATAAAAAATATTTATACAATAAAGAAAAGTTTATCAATCTGTAAAAGTGAAAAGAGAAGGCCGTAAACATCTATACCATTTCATCAATGCACCAGTTTAGCTTTATTTTTAAGCTACAGACATAAGTAACCAATTTATGGAAATACATCCAAAAGGCTCTCACCCACCTTTATTTTTTGTCGATCCTTTGCAACCTCAGGATAAGATGCAATGAACTTTGATAGATCAAGGTCCAGATACTCAAAAATGAGATCCACGCCTGCCCAATTGTTTATTACCTCAAGTAACCTGTTTCCAAAGTTCCACACACATTATTATATATATATATAGAAATTCAAAAAATTAGGATGCTTTACATGTTGTCAGAAGTTCAAGAAATTAAGAAAGTTAATAGAAAGATATATAGCAGATAAATCAAACATAAGAGATTTACTAGTATTTGCAACCAATAAATTTTTAATGTATATTAAATAGATAAGGGCCTTTTTGAACTAAGGATGCACTATACTCATGAGACAATCAAGTTCTACATACATCCATCAACCAGAACAACAATTAAAAGAGAATGGAAAGTTAGCCCTCCTTAATATATTCATTTTGGTACAAGTATTTTTAGAAGTGTGATATAGCATAAAATGCCAAAAAACAAATCCAGCAATGTCTGCCTCAGTGGAAGTAGGCATCTGATGTCTCATCTTCATTCTGCTATTACAAATACTAGAAATACAAGTGATACGTTGTACTGTATGATACACAACTATCAAGAATAATATATCACAAATAATACCCACGAAAAATATAAATCATTGTATAAACACCATTTCAAAGATGATTATTATTATTTTTCTGATAAGCCATAAAAGTCCCACATGAACTAAATGGCCCCATTGAGTTCTAGATACTAGATAGCATTCTTAGGAATACATCCATCACCTCAGATGTAATGATTATTACAGAAAATGATGAAGCCTTTTATTTTCTAGATTTATAATCTTTCATTTCTAGTTCTATAAAGGCACAATGGGACCATACACCCCTTGTGAGTCATAATTTTGCCTTTGAGAATTGTGATTAATTCACCAAACATGGGGCTCATAACAACACAAGCATACACATTCGAAGTGCCCCAAGAGAAGAAAAGAGAAATAAAGCAAAAACTAAAATAAATTATCCAAGGACTAAAAACTAGCAACATTTATTGCCATCACTCACTATGCTGAAAGGAAAACAAGAATAGTTCTGGAGTTACCTCATTCTCAAGGGTTAAAATTTATGAGACTAGCTGCAAGCTTCAATGGGTAATTGAGGAAAATGAACAAAAAGAAGGAAAATGATAAAGACAACAAAATAAAATTTGTGATTTATATGATGAATTACGTGGCTATTCTATGTTGATAATTTAGGATAAATTTGTTTATTCATTTATTATATGGGAAAAAAAAAAAAAAAAATCCGATCGCAAAAAAAAATGATCCTATAAAATAAGAACAATGGTGAGGTTTTGATGAATTTGTCCAACAACAGTTGGATTCGGATCTCCACTGAAAAAGGAAAACCCTAATCATCATCATCCTTGCCTTATTCCCATATGAATACATGGATTCTCTTTCTCCATTCTTTTCTAGTACAAGACATCTCTCCTCTAATATTTAACTTTTTAAAGTCATTTCTTATGATTTCATCTCATGATAATTTCGGGTACCCTCTTTGCCTCCTACCCTTTGTGAAAATTATCCTTCCTCTCCTCACCGGTGCATATATAGATCTTCTGTGTATATGTCCATACCACCTAAGTATACTCTTTTTAATCTTGTCACTAACAGGTGCCACACCTAATTTCTCCCTCACATTTTTGAAAACCTAATCTTGCTACGTTTTCATCTTTGCACCATTACAAAATGAAAGTATATGTTTTAGGGAGATTGTACCTCCACGAGTTTCAACATCTATGTCCCCTATTATAATAATCATTTTCTGAAATGTAATATGCAAAGAATCAAGAAGATTTGAAAGGAAAAAGAAAAAAACATAGATCTTCATAGAAGGAGTCCATGTTTTGCCCTTTCATAAAATCGACAATTGTCAAGACAATTACAAGCAATTCTTGTACTGGTTTGATGTTCTTGATCGAGTGCATAACTGCATGGATATTAGTGGATGAACCATTAAGGCAGGAGAGATTGGCTGGATCAGGTGAAGGAGTCAGGCAAGATGCTGTTGAAGCAGCAATGTTCGAGGTCCGGGATGAAGTGTTGTGATGACAGAATAAATGTTGTAGCCAGAGTCAAAAGAAAGGAGTCCCGAGAAAAAGATAAGCCAAACGACATTTTCTTACTTCGTATTTGATACGTGTATCACTTCTCTAAAAAAGAATAAAGGATCAGGAAATTTTCTTTTTATAATTGTTGATGTCATTTCAAATTTTAATTTTCAAAAAGAAGATGTTCAACCATGTAAAGAAAGGTTTATATTGCAACTAAAATAATTTTTTTTAAAACCAAAAAGAAAGTACTCCCTAGATTAGAAATATTATTCATAACTAAATCAAAATCTTGCATTGCATATGCATATGCATAATCAGTCCTAGCATTTCAGGACAAGCATGGAACCAAACCTTTCACTCTGGAAACAGCACAAATGCCTAGTCCCACGAATGTAGTGTTGCAATAAATGATATATTAGCATGAGAAAACTAATCTGGCGATTTAAATGTAAGCAATTAAGTTATGTGATTAGTCTCTCAATTAAAGTAATACTTCACTGTTGGCAAAAAAATTAACTTGGTTTAATAATATTTGATTTTGGCACTTCATACATGCTCAATCAAAATATTGAGCATGTATTTTTTTTTGATAATTTCTATCTGAAGGATACGGAAAATAGATGGCCAAAAATCATTTTATAATCTGAGGTTTTTACACTTCATAGACTCAATAATATTCGTAACCGAAAAAAAAAAAATGGCATACTCAAGAAGTTAGAGGAGGTAACCATCAAACGGAAGACAAGAAAAGTCATCTAAGATGGAGGTGCAACATGTAACAAACAGTAACAGAATGCACAAATATGTGAGACTGGTTTTATTCAAGTACACGACAACCAAAAGAACAACACAAGGGGCAAAAAACTTGGATTGAGGAGGTGAGAGCAGATATGAATGCCTATGATTCTATGAATGATCTGCCATCAGATAGACCTGAGCACCTGACAAATATATATATATATATATATATAATATCTAAAGACATGTTGAAATTAAGTTTATGTTAAGTTGAATTAAGTTCAAAACCGTTTATACATAATCTAATAGTTATTGGCTACAAATCTCTGCTTATAGAACACACAAACATCATTAAAGGTAACCCCAAGGGGGTGGAATTGTTGACCAAAAACATGACTCATGGGGCCGAGGTCCTGGGTTCGACGCCTCACAGTACTACTCATTGGGGCCTGCGACGTGTCAGAAGGAGAATGATCCAACCCAAAAGGCGAGGACTCCCCTCTAAGTCAACAAAAAGAAAGGAAAAGAAAAAAGAACCATTAAAGGTACTTAGGTACTTTGCATTTTGAGTACTAATCATGTTAAGATGATAACTGGAAGACATAATTAATTTTTCATACAATATTGCTGTTGCATGGCAGGTGGCATACAATGGAGCAACCATCAACACAAACCAAGTGTATCCTAAGAATCCATAAGCAAGAAATATTATGGCATCAATAATACCTCTTATTTATTCCTTAGCATGGGGCTCTACTAAGTTTTGCATTTCATGATAAATTGTGTCATTAGGAAAGAAAATGTAATTATATTAGTAAAACGACATTATACAAGACAAATTCATTCTCTGCGTTAGGTGGACGTTTCAAAACTTCCAAAAGAAATCAACAATTAATTCACCAATTCTTAATATAGAAAAGGAGAAGGTAGTTTCCAAGCGATAGTGTAGCGAATCCATCTCCTCATTTCCTAGAAATATTAGGACGTAATTTGGTTTTCAAGTGTTTTTTTTTTTCTTTTTTATTGGTTGAGAGAGAGAAAATGTCGAGTCCTGTAACTTGCACTAAGATTCCATAACTTTCTGGACCAAATATCAATGGAAAAAAGAGAAAAAGATGTGGCAATAAGAGGAAAAACTATCAAACTTTTAAACATTACTCTTTCATCTCATACAGTAAACTAGCATTACCTGATTATATTGCCATGATTCAGTTCCTGCAAAAGTGAGATTTCTCTTATTACTGAACTGGGGACACCTTCATCTTGATCTATAAAGATAATCCTCTTCATAGCTACAGTTTTATTGGTCGCGCGTTCACGGCACTTGTAAACCACACCAAATCCGCCTTCTCCAATCTTCTCAATCAGCTGATACTGCAAATCCAACAGCATGAACAACCATTCAAGGAGACTTGGAGTAGCATCAAAATAAATTAGAAGTAAGAAACCTTACCTTAGAGTCCATTTATTAGGTCAAGCAGGACCGACACCGAAGGAAATCTGAAGTTTTTGAGCTGTAAAACTGGAAAATGGAGTTCTAATAAACGATCAATTAACAAGGGAAAATAAATGGATGTGTTAACAAATAATCAAGCTAACCCTCAAAATAGGACAGTTGATAGTCATGAAATACAAATAAATCAAGAATTTGCAAACCAGAAATCTGCATTGGGAAGAAAGAAAATAACTAATGATAAAACAAATTAACTCAGAAACTTCCAAAATTTTAACCATTACAAGTACAAAAAGAACTGAAACCAGACGTGCCAAATGGAGAAAATTAGGAGGGACATTTGACCAGAACTTAAAAGCCATAAATGCAATGAGTGGTCATCCATAATATCGAAACTCTCAGTCCTGAACAAAGTTTTCAGTGCTAGACATGCCAAAGGTAGTCATGGATGGACTAAATTGAAAAGGAAAAATAAAAAATAAGAAATTTCTAAAAATTAGTTTTTGGAATTTCTTGGATCCAACAAAGAATAAATTTCCTTTTTCCCTTTTCATTTCTAACATACACAGCTTACAAAACGGTAAACCCAAAAATCTCATTTTATTCCTTCTGCTGCAAAATATTTTACATTTTCTTTAGCCAATCACTATAGAAATCAAAACTCCAAAAGTTGCATGGTTATTAATAACTTCATTATCGCATTATACATACCAGTGTTCCTATTTCATCCTTCTTTATTTACCATTGCCCACATAGCCTCCAAAATATCTTACAAGTCTTACTAAGCAAGATGCTAAGCACCAAAAGAAACTCGTTACTGAGTCACTACACTGTTTCTTTTCTTGGTGCATCCTCTGTTTTTGCTTCACCTTCTTTTCTATTTATAAGAAACATTATTTCTTTGTGCGTCCACAGTTTTTCCTTCACTTTTTTTTCCTTCTATTTTATTCCATGCCGATGGAATGCATCTTTAAGTGAACACAACTAACAAATAATTCAATTAACTTTATAAAATAATTCACCTGATTTATCATAAGAAATAATAACAATTCCCTGACTCAAATGTTAGTAGCCTTTTTCAGCCATTTTATGACTAGTTTGCCTGTGGAAGAACCTCAAAACTTAAATTCATCACGCAGCAATGGGAAAACAGATCCTTCTTTGTACACTGTATGAGTTTAACAGAGCTTCTAACATCGAAAGTCATGTGTAACTTGAATAATAGAAATAACTTATAAACAACAAAGATTAATGGTTGGAGATATAAAAACACCAAAATGGGAATAGGAGGAGAAAATTAATAATAAAGTATCACAGTTCAGTCTGATGGTTGTTGAAATCTAATCAACTATCGTCGAATGCACTTACTTCAAGTTTTAGAACTATCTCTTCCTTTTTCTTTTTTCTAAATGTTCTTTTTCTTTTGGTAGGTAACAACAATGAAGAAAATAAACATAAAATATATATAAGTATAAAGCAGAAGAGAGCACATCCTATAGAAAAAACAAACAGCACATCTGGACAATAAAAGACAAACATCGATATACATATCTCCAATAAAGCTACATTGGCAACCAACAATGAACCAAAGAAACGATGACAACTATCTCCAAAGTCAACATAAACTACATTCTAAACCAAGTCATAGGTAGTTTCCAACTAAAACCTATTTCCTAGTTCTGATCATGATGACCGTCTAGCTCTGACTTCCTCCTTAATCCTGTAAAGCACCCTGGAGCATTTTTTTTTTTTGATAAGTAAGCACCCTGGAGCTTTTATTACTACTATTATTCATAACTTTGCAATTTATTTGTTCCAAAGATGGCAGAAGCTTTCATAGCCAATATCACTTGAACAACATTTTTTCATTACTAGTATTATTCGTAGCTCTGTGATTTATTTGTTCCAACTATGGCATACACTAACTGTGAAATCCAGAATCAGTTAAACAACAATAGTTTTATCCTTATATTTCCTGTGGACCCAACCTACTTCAGAGCCACTTCACACGAGCTTATAAATATAACAAGTTGCATAATATGTTTTCCAACAGGAGCATCTAAAAATATTATGGTTAATGGTTTCTGTAGCACCTGAATATAGTAAAAAACTAAAACTATTAATAGTTTCTGTTTCCCATACAGTCTTGTCACCCCCTAGTTGGTAGTCTTCCTCAAGGGTTGACCAAAGAATGAATACATGCACAAGAAATATCTAATTTCTACTGTCAATTCAATACCAAAAAGAATAACTCACACTTGATTATTAAGTCCACAAAGTAATCATGCTCAACAAAGTCCCCAAAGATGAGTTAAGGGGGTACTCCTATTGTGAAGCAGAGAAATTCTAGCAAATGTTCAACACAATTAACACCATCTCTCAAGATATGAGATACTATTGCAGAGAAGGGATGGCTACTTTATACATAATTACAAACTCTCTATAAAAGTTGGACCAATTTGTTGCCACTTATCTGTCTGTGCCGGCAGAACAACATAGTCCATAAAACTATCATAGAATTCCACAAGACTAGACAATAGAATACCACTCTACTCTTTGATAACTATTCATAACACATCCACATCAAAACTCCCATATGCAAACAGGGTCAATAAAATACAGTTTTCCTCACCAATTCCACAGAAATAAAGGATGCTCAAGATCGCAAAGCATATTAACTGTTTGATCATTTAAGATCAACTACTAAATTCTTCAATTATGTAGATGATAATTTCATCTCTAAAGTTGTGAATTCTATCTTCAAATGCTTCAATCGTTTACACAAGTGTATAATATTCGATCTATGCAACCTATGAAATTGTAATTTGTACGGTGAACAGATATCTCGCACATTCAAACCCATCTTTATATACTATTAAGCCACAAGCTCTGAATTCTATCTTCAAATGCTTCAATTGTTTACACAAGTGTATAATATTCCATCTATGCAACCTAAGAAATTGTAATTTGTACTGCTAATGAACATATATCTTGCACATTCGAAAGCAACTTCATATACTATTAAGCCACAAGTTCTTTAGCAACTCGTACAATCAGAATATCAGACCACGATTCAATGAAGCACAAAACAACTAGATAGTTTCTACAGAAAATCATCCTAAATATATAGAAGATTTCATACAGATCTATGCATATAGAATATATATATATATATATATATATATATATATATATAGTCGCTAGGGCTTACATAGCTTAATACAGATCTATGCATATAGAAGATGTCATATATATTTATGTATGCTTAATACAGATATATGCTTACATAGCTTATATATCTGTGCACGCACAAGCTTCAGACATACATAGCAATCAAGAGATCGTAGGGATCTGACAAAGCTCAAGCTTAACAAAAATTAAAACTAAGATACTATAATTGAAATTGAAATTGAAGATTTAATAGAAATTGAAGATATAATTGAAATTGAAGATGATTCGTGTCTGTGAAAGTGTCTGTAGAAGCGTGTGTTTAGAGAGGGAGAGAGAGAGAGAGGAGAGAGGAGAGAGAGAGTTTACTTGAAGAAACAGTGACGATCACCGGTTTTGCCCTAATTTCCCGATTGTTTCTGAAATCGAACTAGAGTTGCAGACAGAGTTTCAAAGTGAAAATTTGGTGAAATGAGGAGAGAGAATCTTGTTTATACGCACAAAAACAGAGGCGTAACTGCATTTCCCTCCAAAATCTATAAGAGGAGATACTGGGTGTGGCACTTGTACAGTGCTCTCCATCATCCAACCTCCCAGCACCGTTTGATATAACATCCGTACAGTCCCTCTCCATCATCCAACCTGTTATCACCTTTGAATGTAGCACTTCTATGGTGCTTCTTTGACCGCTCTTTTTTCCTTCCAACCGAATATAGTGTGTGGGTAAGTTTAGTTTATTAATTCTTTAAATTCTGTCTTTTTATTTTTATAATCGTGGACGGCAAGGCGAACTTGCGCGCTCCTCAACTAATTCCACAAAGCGGCCCTGAAGTTAATAACCGAATAAGCCGAGTAACCTTGTGGAGACTCGAACTAGTAACCAATGGAGAGCAAACCCAAGACATGCCCAGCTAAACTACGTGATTAACTCAAGGTCTCTTATAAAATGCAATTTCTATTTTTTTTTTTTTTTTTTTTGTGGACCTATTTAGAAATACATTGATCAATGTGCAATTTATATTATATCTATACTTATTAATATTAAAAGTACAAAAATTTTGAAACTATAAATAAATTGGTAATATTTGTTACATTTTGCATAATTATAATTACACATATGTGTTTAGTTATTAAAAAAAAGACCCAATTTCAAAAGCAAAAAAGAAAAAATTATTTTTATTTTATGTTTTTGTTACATAGCTGAACAACTGTAGCCATTTTTTTCCTTTTAAAATCAATATAACATACAACATTACTTTTTGTTTTTTACAATCTTTCAAACATTACTTTTTTGTTTTTAATTATTGCACAACAAATTTAGTTATCAAAGTGTTCATGGTTCAAGAATAAAAAGAAATTTTCTACCTTGTATAAAATAAAAAATGTAAAGTAGAAGCTATGACAAAATGAAGGGACACTTAATAGAATTTTCGCCGCCGGGGTGGGGGGAGTCTTGAAAGTTCGTTTGTGGGCTTAGTTCAGACTCTGATAATTAATAACAAATTTCGTTTGAACTCGGTTTAAGCTCGTGTTCAAGATCACTTTGACATATTTATGAACTTATATGAGCCTATACAAATTTATGTTCCTGATCCTATATAAGCATATGTTTGTGAATATATTGATAAGTATAAGCAAATATTTATGAAGATATAGGAGCTACACGAGCTCATATTTATGAGCTTAGGCAAGCTAACATTAATAATGTTTAGGACCAACTCGTTTATCAAATCCTGAAAATTGACCTCTAACTCGGCCTATTTGTATAATAAACAAGTAGCCTGAGTCAAGCTAGGAATAACTTGGTTGTAATGACCCAGATTTTTCGGATAAATTTTTTCCGTTGTCTTTTCCCTTCTGAGTTTGGTTTCTTGTCGATTAGTGTCGTCTCGAGTGCTCTGGAGTGATTTCCGAGACTCTTTTATGTGGATTGACAACTTCCTTTGAGGACCGAGTCAGTTCCGCATTTTTCATTTTTCGACACTATTCACTTTTTGTCTTTTCCCTACTTTGTCTTTTTTCCTATTTCGTCCTTTCCTCGTTGTCACTTTGTTTGCGTAACCACTCTTCTTGTGTTCGGAGTTAGTTTTTGACTTCACGTATCTTCATCTTGAGTGGTTTCCATGAAATACGTATCTTCACTTTTGCAAGAAAGTACTCTGGTTGCTCCCGATGTCCATAGAGGCGTGGATGCACAATTCTTTGGAATTATTTTCTTTTTTTGGGGTGTTTTTCATAAATATATTTTGAAGATATTTTATTTCAGGGGCATCTAAGAAAATATCTTTTGGAAGATATTTCATTCTGGGGCAGTTTCGTCGTTAACCCTTTTTGTAGGGGCCATTGTGCAATTAATGAAAATTATTGCAAAATATCTCGTCTGGAGCCTGGATCCTCGTATGAGATTCATTTCCACTTTTTGTTGACTCGTAAATTCATAGAATTTCCTTCTGGTCGTTTTTCTCCAGTTTCAGGGTTTCTGGCCCCGGTTTGCGCCAAACTTGTTTTGGGCATAACTTTCTGTACGGGACTCGGTTTTTGACGCCGTTTCTTCCGTTGTTCATTTTTCTCATTTTGAATCCTTTTTGTTCATGGAGTTTTTCTGTTTGAGCGCTTTTTCTCAAAATCCACTTTTCCGAACCCGGCGGGGCCCTTTCGGAACACTTTTTGAGACTTACTATAAATATGGGACTTAAGAACAAAAAAAATTAGATTTCTTCTTCTTCTTCCTCTCCCATGGCCGGCCAAGCTCCCTCCCATAGCTGCCACTTTCTCTCTCCTCCTTTGATCCACTTTTCTTTGATGAAAAGTCTTTGGCCTTGACGTTTAATGCTTGCCTTGACGCCGTGCACCTTTTCCCCTTATTAGAAACCATTTCTGACCAAATTTTAAGTTCGGGATTGAGGTCAAGTTTGGATTTTCATGGGGCTTCTTGGGGGTTCATGTAAATCGTGTTGTCCCCGACAAAACCTTGAAGTTTCATCGGATTCGGAACCGTTTCATTTCGGTAGGGATTTAAGATTTCATCTCAAATGGAGGTAGGGAATGTTTTAGGATTGTTTGTGTGTTGTATTGAGTGTTTTCCATGATTATATAACTCATATGTATGCCTTGTATCAAATCTAGAAAGTTAGTATTATTTATTTCTTTGTGTACGATTTAAATTTCAAGGATGTGTATAGCTTAGATTTGAATTATGGCATGATGATAAATTAAGCTTTAATATGTTTGTTAACATATATTAAATAGGGATTATTTGAATAAGAGTTGAGCTTTTTAATTAATATTTTTCTTTTGTGAAAGATAAATTTCCATGGCCGTACCTTGCATGAAATGAACTTGTAGTATGCTTTTAAATTAAGTCTAAGCATGTTTGTTAACATACTTTAATTTGAGAGCATTTGGATAAGTATGAAAATCTAGAGACTTTAATTAAAATGATTAATTAAAATCTATTTAATGGTTCCTTTAACTTAATTAAGTTTTGACTTGATATTTGAGATGACTAGGACTTGTATACTAGTATACTAGTATATGTTAATATGGGACCATTTTATGTTGTTTTAGAATTTAAGGATTTGATTATCATGATTTAATTAAATTCCATTTGTTATTCAATTGGCCTAATCAAGTTTTGGAATTGGTATATGCAATGACCATGCTATGTTGTTTAACATGTGTAATTTGAGGCCATTTGGTTGAGAATTGCAACTTAGAGGAATTAATTAGTTTACTTGATTAAATTCCGTTTCTATTGCATTATGGATTTAAATCATGTGTTTGACGTTGATTGTATATCTAAAGTATGATTTTAGACTTGTAATGAATTTATGAGATTACGTTTCAATATTGGATTATCTTGTTATAGCGTGTAACGAGTTGCACACTGAAGATTCGACATGTGATGTAATTATAGCGCGTAACGAATCGCGTTTTGAAGATTCGACATTTTTCATCTTATAGTAGTTGTGGATTTAGAGCATGTATTGTGTGGTTACAAACTACTTGTGTATGGAATGTGGTTTCGTATATATATAAGTTGTTAACTTATTTATTTTGGAGTCACTTGGGACATGGTTACTATGATATGGCTAAAGTTCGGCTTTAGTGCGGGAGGTATGAGTTCTCCCCAATTGAGATAGTGCGCATTTAGGGTGGTTTTTCTTGCGGGTTAGTGCCCGAAATAACCATTAACCTCGGCAGAATTCTGAGTCTAGATGTCCAAGTCTTCCATTATTTATTTTCACATTCAATTCCAAGTTAGCAATCATGTTTATATTATGACTTGTGGTTTTGGCTATTGGCGATTTTGATGTTGTTAAGTACATCCATGCTTTATGATCTTTGTAGATTTTGATGTTGCCAAGTACATCCATGTTTTATACAAATCATTTTAATGTTGTTAAGTACATTCATGTTCATGATTTTTAATAAATCATTGTGAGCTTTTATTGTTGTTAAGTACATTCTTGTTTTATGATTTTAATGAATCATTATAAGCTTTTGATGATGTCAAGTACATTCATGTTGTGTTGTTCAACTGTAAAGTAGGAATGATCCTATAGATTCATTTAGAACATAAACGTTAGGTGGCATGATCACTTATGTCGTTTTCGTTCTTTAGATTTCAAATTAATGACTTTGAGAATCTATGTTGTTGCTTGGTGTAAGTATGCTCCTATGTTGTAACTTTGTGTAAGCATGACCCTATGTTGCTAAAATCGCATGAATGAGGTGATTGATGCTAGAAATGATCTTAGGTAGCTAGGATGTTCCTTGAGTCTCACCTTTGACATAGACGTTAGGTGGAATGAACCACAATAATTAATCATGCAAACTTGTAAAACGTAGGTCGATGCATGCTCATTTCCTACGAGTAGCTTTATGGTACTCACCCCTACGATACTGGGGCATACTTCAGGTACAGGATTCAAGGTTAGAGATTCTCAACATGCTTGGATGATTTGGGAACTTGAAGGATTCAATTCTTGTGAAGGTTGGCTTGAAAAGCCATTTGTAACCTTATATGTCAAATGTGTATATTTGCTTCTAGACTTGTAACGTGTGCCGTAGCATACTTTTTGATTCTCATTTTATGTTTATGACATGAGGCCAATGGCCAAACTCCTTTTGAAATTACATTTATGTCATGGATGTTAATTTTTGCTTTCAATGAGAACATATGGAAAACCATGCGTTTTAGTATGCTATTTTGTACCGGAGCATGCATTGTGTATGAACTTCTTCCATTAGCATTCATTTAACATACATGAAGTGTGGCCAAGGGCCAAACGGCATTTCAAAACCATTTCATGATTTTAGGTTTCAAGTTTTCATTCCAAACTTCATTTTTGGCATTTTGGCCGTTGGGGGGTCATATTTTGCTTCGGCCATATTTTTGAGCCGTGGACCATTGTAGCACATCTTATTAGGTAAGTTACGTTTGTGTGCATGGTCGTTTCAGGACAAAGCTTCTTCTTTGGTAAAATGAGCCTCCAACGGACTCATTTTACACTTTTGTTGCATATTTTGACCTAAGGGTATTTTGAATTTCTTTTGGGAAATAAATTCCATTCTTCACATCGTCATTTAGAAAATGTGATTTTAGGGGGGGTTTCTTCTTCGTGTTTTTCCA